TCTGGACCTCCTGATGTGAGGTGTTTAGTTAGGAGGGGGGGGGGGTGAAAGGCTTAACTTGACATTACTTATATATCTGAACCTTCCCTCAACTTTTTTAAAATGTACAAAACAAAACAAAAAAGATCTTGAAAATGATTAGAAAATTTGATGATTTCTCAATGCTCAATATTTTCCATTTTGTTTCAAAAAGACATTTGAAAATTTTCTGGAATAAAAGATCAGGACAAGATATATTTCAACACAGTATAGATAGAGACTAGACAGACCATGTTATATATTATAACTGAAAGTGTATGACAGAATATACCAATTCATTATTTTCTTGATGAATGGTCAACCTGCGTTCTCATGTCTTCAGTTGCCATATGGCATCTGCAAACAGTATATCCTTTATCATAATTAGAGATCCTGAGAAACAATGTCAATATGACTTTGAAATGAGGATCAAATGCACTTTATGCAGCTGTGTATAAGTATCACACTGAATACAACTTCAGTTCCTTAAATTCATTAAGATTCACTAGTGACCTCTATAGATGCAGCTAGAAATGATTTTCAATTAAAGCATTTTCTAAGTTAAATTACAAGTTTTTTCATTAAATGTTTCCCTTTTCATTGATTGTAAGTTTTTTCACTTCCTTTTCATTGATTGTAGTGATTTATTACCCTCTGCATATCTGAAAGAGTGTACCATCTATATTTATTTTCTCTAGATTTCAGGGTATTCTACTGAACTTGTATACAGTAAAACGTGTCTAATTTAAACACCAACAGGACTGGACAATCCCCAAAAGTGTTCACTATTCAAGGTTTACTTACAAGTGAGTCAATGGGAGAAAAAGTGTTCACTTTTCTTATACGAGGGAGATAACAAAATTTGGACTGAGAAAAAGTGTTCAAATTGGAAGGTGTTTAGATTAGAGGGGTGTTCAGATATACAGGTTTTACAGTATACAGTCATGAGCACTGCGCTATATTTTTAAGTACATGTAGTATGCCATCGCAGGAACAAGAGTTGAGCGAAGCAAAAAATGAGTATTTAGGGGGGTCTGGGAAAGGACGATTCTCGGTTTGGAGAACGAAGTTCATCAATCTAAATGAGCATTATCCCTGCTTCGGACAAATTTGATTTTTTTACATAATATAGATTTGAATGTCTTCTTTTGAATAGTCATAATTTAATTTGGGTAATATTTCTAGATTTTTCGCAAAAGAATATTAGCGCAGTACACTGATGAACTTCTTTCCCCAAATCGAGACTTGTATTTTATTGAATCGGTCTATTTGAGCATTATCCCTGCTTCAGACCAATTTGTTATTTTTACATCTTGTAGATTTAATTGTCCTCTTTTGAATATTCATAGTTTAATTTGGGTAATATTTCTATATTTTTCATGAAAATTTTTTTAGCCCAGGAGGCTGTTCTCCAAACCGAGAATCGTCCTTTGGTTGTATTTGGAGCGAATTTGCAAGCATCTGGTACGCTTGTGCGTACCCAGAGTACTGTGCGCTATGCCTATGACAGTTCTTCTTAGTAAAGTCTTTGCAAGACAGAGATGGTGATAAGTATCTGACTGTTGTGCTAACGGTTAAAGCCTGCATTCGAAACTAAAATTACCAGCTTTACATATATTTTACTCCATTACACGGACCTTACAATTTTAGTGCTTAATTAACATATTACATCAGAAAAAATAAGATAACAAAATCTAGATCAAAAATTCCCAATTAGTATGATTGCCGCGTTTGCTTTCATTATACAGCGCCATATATCTAAGCCTATATTTGCCAATAATGTCAGCTTAAGAGAATGAATCACAGGCTAATAAGCCCTCAGATAATCAAGGTCAGCCACCATTGTAAATGATGTCAAAGGTTTCATGATACTATTCCTAGTATTCACAGAGATGGTACAGGCTGTGAAGCCAACAATGAGAAATATGATTACCATGAAATCTATGAAAAAGCTTCATATAATTGGTTGGGATATAAGAAAAATATGTCACATTTTTGATGTATATGCCAATGCAGTTAGCATCACTTGGACAATTTAGCAAAGGATGGGTGAGATCCGTAATATGTTTCATCTAATTCAAGTCCCCCCCTGTTTAATCATTTCAAATTAATATTTATTTGAATCATTCACTAAACCATCACTGTCAGGCATTAACAAAATATTATGACTTCTATATGCCTTGGGATCGGTAATCAACTCAAATTTTTCCATATCTGTAATATGATAATATTACTATTGAACCTTTGAAGAATTCCATATGAAAATATATCCCAAGAAGTCAAATCGTTAGAGGGGCAAAAGCGTAAAAAATCAATAAAATTGTGATATTGCTTCATCATAACACGAAACAACAATTACTATTCACGTCTTTTTTCTCTTTCAGTGACATTAAGAGTCTACTTTGAACCAGTATCATCAATATCAAAGGATTATGTAGTCTTGCAACAAGCCAAGTATATCTCCTCCACTTGCTTTCTTCACAAAGTAGGGAAATGGATAATAGGTCGATGGAATAGAAGCTTGATGCAAGACTAAGAATTAAGTAGATTACCTAGAAAATATATATAATATGTGAAGCTGCACCTTTAATTAAAGATGCATAATTACCAAAGTGTATTTTAATCAATACATACTATTATTATGATATAATATTAAAATGTAACACATGAAAAAGTTTTCTGTTAAATATATAAACAAACAGGAAGTGAAACTTCATTTTAGGCAAATTTTCACCTAGTTATTCATTTTCGTTTCAATAGAACGAAACACAAATTCAAATAATTTTTGTAAAACCAAATGTCAGGACTACAAGTATAATACATGTAGTATGTGGTTACCATACCATGTTCTGAAATAATATGAGGTGAGAATGAACTTGAAAACGTCAAGCTGAAAGAGCAACATCTGCAATGGGAGACTAATTCACTAAGATATTTATCAGTTAGGCTGACTTTTTCCAGAAAATATCTTCACGTTTTCTTGTAAATCATTGTATGCCCGTCAATACACATACTCATACTATAATAAATCAAAATAAATACAGAAAATATGAGATAGTGAAGAAGCACACGTCATATAAATCACCCTTTAGAGAAGAGGAATGGGCAGGGTTTCTACTCTAACTGGTTGAAAATATGAGACATATACACATTTTCCATAACTCTTTAAGAAGGGGAGAGGGGTAGTAGTGTTTCTACTCTAAACTGGTTAAAAAAATATGAGATAGTACACATTTTCTCTAAACCAGTCTTTAAGGACAGAGGGGGAGGATGGCAGTATGTCTAGGGTAAAACTGTTTTAGTGAACACCTCTCTCTAGTGAACACCTGTCTCTAGTGAACACATGTCTCTAGTAGACACCCTTCCTCAACACATTTTCTAATGACTTCTGTATGAATGATTTTATCTGTCGTGAACACCTACCTACAGTTAACACATTTTTTAGGTGTTCACTATACACAGTTTTACTGTACTGTACTAAATATGATATCTTTTTGCGGGCTAACTGTTCCTGTTATACATGTAATTCCTAGTCAAATTACTAATTCTACTTCCCCTACTACCAGTACTGATTATGAACAATTATGTTTATCCTAATCAAGATAACAGGCTATTTATTCTATGAGAAATGGTGAATGTACTTTCCAAAGATTAATTTTCAAAAGACTAGGGAACAAATAAAGTTTAAGATTCATTTTAGAATTTCAATTCACCATGTTTCCACATTTATGTCATATAAAAGTTTACTTCTAATCCATAAAAATATGCCAAGGAAGCATGATTATGGTAATTACAAAATTCTAACATATCTCTGAAAACATGATACACGAGATAAAAAGCCTTAAGATCATCAGAGAATGGATCATGGATTGCAAAGATAAATGTAAAATGTATCATATTTACCTATCCTGACATCTCAAACAATTGCAGTATAATTACTGATTTGTTTGTCATTTAATTTTAGGAGAATTAAAAACTGTGATCACAAAACTCACATGTTTCGCAAAAAGTGTGTCCTGTCTAGCAATGGGCCTAGGTAATGGGCAATGACAGAATAAAGTGGACATATACTTTTGAAAACAGACCTATAATGAAATTATATGTTTCATCTGAAGTAAAGAACAAAGCAGGTCAGCCTGACCCAGGTCATCCAGACCCTGACATATGGAAGACAATATAGAATACTTTGTCAATGCCAGTACTTACAGGGATATGTATCAATGTATAATTACCTAGATGCCAGTATTTCACCACAAGGTGGTTCGAGTAAGATTATATATATATATATAGCCCTTGCACATCCCCCAATAACATGCGTATCTTCTACACTGGGTACTGAAATCGATACTGACGAATGCGGCAAAGACTAAATTTCTACAAATATTAGATAGAAATAGACTCACTACATATAACAATTTATCACTATGTCCTAAGTTCCTAACAGTTTTCAGTATGATAATTTTATCATTCAAAATGCTGAATTTTCCTGGGAACTTATCTAATTCTCATTCAAAAATCAAATTGTTATCAACACATTTTATGAAAAACATTCCTATTATAATTTTGTATGTGGAGATCAAAGTTAGTATAACTTATCTTTGACTAAATATTTGGTATTAAATCAATCAAACTTATCTTGGCTCTCAGGTTATATCAGATTTAAAAATAGTAAACCTCAATACACACAAGCAGAAATGTTTTGTGGTCATGCCACATGCATGTAGGCATCAGCATATTTATCTCAAGACTGAAGATTTTTTACTCTACAGGCATCCAAGTTGAAAAAATAAACCAATAGACAAACACAAAAATTTTGCATGTTTTTCAACTGAATAACATGGCATTATTTGAGGGAAGTAACAGTTTGTTTATTCGATGTTGACCCTGAAAAGGATTATCACAGACTAGATTAGATTTGACACTGCAATAAAAATATCACACACTTTGTGTGATAAAAAAACGCTAAAATAAAAATTACTCACTTCCTGGATATGTGAATTCCCTGGAATACATTCTTTGTTTTCTCCATACTTTCAAATTCTCTTGTTCCTATAATCCGCTATATTAGTTCTCAATATTTTTTAGTACTCTATGTGTTTTAGAAGATTGCCGATATTCTCCCAATCCACTCATTCTGGACTGTTAATGGTGATGTCTGAAATACAAAGCAGTCGTGTTAAGAGGATAGATGTGAAAACATAACATATTGCCTGTTACCTACAAACTCTGTTTTGTCTCAACACTTTAAGGGGAGGCATCAAAAGATCAATGTCTGATAGAAAACTAAATAAATCTAGTTTGGGGGGGAGGGGGTCAAAGCTATTTCAGTTTGCTATCCGACAAATTTCAACATTTGAATTTTTGGGAATTTCGACTCGAAATGCCTTGGAATGGTTTAAAAATAAAGACTTTACCAGATGCCTTCTTCACAAATATGCATGCAACATGGAATATTATGCCTATTGTTGTTGGCATATGTTTTAAGAATCATGAATAAGTTCTAGTACTACCCCCATAAAAGTCCAAATTGAGTCGCAAAAACATGTGAAAGTCCGCGATCAACTTTCATTGTATTAAGTTTTGAGGGGGAGGGGGGGGGGGTCCAACTCAAGACTAGATTTATTTAGTTTCCTATCAGACATTGAACTTTTGATGCCTCCCCTAAGTTAATATGCACTCACAAATGCTGAACATTTACAAATACACTTACAACATTACACTCATTATTTGTAGTAGTAGAAAGCTTAAATGTTCACTATTAAACAAATCTTAACAGCAAACTGATGATATAAATTGCCAGGATCAAAGAGGAAAAAGATACAGCGAAGCCTGCTTAATTGCCACAACCCCCCCCCCTTCTTTTACCTACATATACTTTAGTGTGTATATGGAGTATTTAATGGGGGAGGGTGACTTACTCCCCATGTAGTGAAAGTCTCATAATTATGCCAGATTCTAATTATAATGAACACCTACCTGTGGACAATGAACACATATCCAGAAACTGACTGTACAAATATAAGTAACATGGTTTTAAGGTAGCATATACTGACCTGATGAGGACATGACAAACTTACAGATCCATATGTTTGATTCCTCAATAGCTCAAAAAATATATTTCCGCTTCCAATTATACTATTAACATGACAATGAAAAGTAAATAGCAATTGGTTCCTAATGTAGAATTAAAGTCTATGGTTTTCAGGATAATTACTCCAATAGTGGTAGAAAGGAGATGACTCATTGTCAATATTAAGCAGAGTCAACCCAGAGAATGTGAAGCTGAGGATTAAACAATATTAATATACAGTGAAACCTGTAAAGTGGAACACTTTTCAGAGTCTCTAGACCAACTGGCTTAATGTTAAATGAACCTCTATAGTCTATAAGTGGAACACCTCCCAAACACTTCTTAAAGGTACAAAAGGTGTTCTACTTAGACAGGTTTTACTGTACTGTTAAGTAAAACCTCAGGCACTCATACAGTAAAAGTATCATGCACATATCATTGGGACCAACTAAAATTATTCGGCTTATGGATCTTATATTTCAAGGTGAACATATTAGACAAGTTTACTTTTCAAATATGACTGTTCAGTGTTCAAATTAGGAGGTGTTCCCATTTGAAGGTTCGTTTTATGAGACTCAATGAAAATGTAAGGGGCCAAAAGTGCTCAAATTAGAGAGCTGTTTCATTCAAAGAGATTTTCTGATTTTCTGATTAATTTCGTAAAAATGCAAAAAAAAAATTCTTTTCATTTGTAAGAAACTCTGTGACTTTTGCATTTTTACGAAATTAATCAACTGAGTAATCAATAAGTACAGAAAATCATATATTGTTTGCTGGATTAATATACCATTCCATGCTGCACATTATTGAAAAATATAGAAATTAGAGAGATATTACGAGAACTTTATGATCAACCCTCTCGTATATCGGAAAACCTCTTTGAATGATTTTAATAGAGATGGCATCTAGTATATGTCAGTATGACCAGGGCCAGCATATTAAGCGTAGGATTTCATTTAAAAGACAGATGGCTCAGTTTCCCAAAGGTCCTGGGTTTGGTTTCCTATTATGTCTCATATTGTCTACGATAAATGGATCACTTCAATACCTTGTCACCTCAAATCGAAATATTCCACAAAAATGTCAATAATAGTGATTCATTATGGATGATGAAAAATGCCATTCAATTATTAGAAAGTTGAATGATATGTAAAATCTGGCTTGTGTGATTAAAACTTATATATATAATTAAGGAATAAAGACCGAAATTCTATGATTCATGATACAATATATGACTGATGACAGAAGTGGTGACATATTGTTATAGTCTCCAACATTTTTTGTGATGATGTTTGGTGGTTGGTGCTCAGTGTCTGTAACATATTCTTATAACTTCCAATAAGTTAACGTTAACAAGTACTGTTAAGATTGACTCCAAATTTGAGATTTGACCTTCCATGACCTTTTCAAGGTCAAAATGGTATTTTTTCAACTTGTTTCAAATTGATCCAATTTTTCCAAATCATCTACAAGTTCTCAGAAGTAAAAATCTGACTTTAGATTTGAGAGTTAATGCCTTACCTTGTATGATCATCGTTATAGAGTGATTGATGTCTTTGACAATGGGCAGAATAAAATCTAAGATCATATATTTGCCATAAATCATTGAATCAAGGTCTTTGATCAACCAGACAAACAACTACAGTAAAACCTGTTTAATCCGAACACTATTTAGACCAGCTTAATAAGGGTCTAACGGTGCACCGAAACCACGGTGCTCCGCGGTTCTTGGGCCTCGGTCGGTACGTTCGGTTCGAAAACTCCGATGTTCGGTTTTTTAACGGTTCGTTGATTCAGAAAAAAGTGCCGTTCGCTAAAGTAGAGGAAGATGAATCTCGAAACGAGAGGTAAAGATTTCGGCATTCTAAACGCTCAAAAGTCGTACAAGGCCCACTGTTTGGGTTATTTTGGATTTCCAACGAGAGATTGTGTTCCTCTCCCGGAAAGAACGATATGCCGGCTTTGCAAAATCGTTATGGTATATGAGAAAGGTACGTGTGAAAAAATGTGAAAATTTGCTGTCTGCAGAAATAGAATAGATCAGAGTTATACATGCTCCCGGGCCGCTTATTTAATATGAAATCGCGCCATCTATTTATCATCGCATAAATAAAATACAATACAAAGTTAATGATTAATTTGTAAATAAAACTGACTTAGATCAGAGGTAAACATGTTCCCGGGCTGCTCATTTAAATAATGAAATCGCGCCATCTTTTTGAGTTATTTGATTTTTTACATTAAAGTGCGATAGGAACCGAAAACCGAACCGAAACCGAAACCGAGGAGATAAAAAACGTGAACCGAACCAAACCGAGGAATTATGAAACCGTGAGAGCCCTACAGCTTAATGCATTTGGATTAGGAAGTGTTCGGATTTCAAGTTTTTGAATCCACAAGATTCTGGATTTTGAAAAAATATATAAATGCATTCTCAGTGAATATAATATTTCTAAATAACTCAACTTCATTTACTTCAGAGTATAATGCTTTATTTTTGACATTTCGCTAGTCATCCAACTAATAAATAACTGTGTACTTCCAAATTTGTAGGTTGATGTCCTGCGAATTTAAGGCACTTTGTCTTAAAAAATCTGTCCCTCTATGAAGTCTTTGGTGGTTACCCTGTAACTGTCACGCAATTAGCATGTTTGTCCCTTAAATGGTCCCGCGCAATCCTGCGAATTTGATCAAAATTTGACCTATTAGCGCAATCACGCAAATCCCTTAAATGTCCCACGAAATCCTGCGCATTTAGGTGAAGCCCCGCAAAATCCCGCGAATTTTGGGTCCTTGGTCTGAAAAATCTGTCCTGCGAGAAAATCTTTGGGGGTTGACAGTACTGGTAGGAGCACTCTGTTTAGTTTGAAAACTCACCCTTTATTTTGTATCAGCACTATACTCATGCCCGTAGCCAGCTTTTACCAGGAGGGGGGTCTTTATTCCAGGGGGAAGCTTTTTCACGATTTTGGCTAAAATTCATGCGAAAAATTCTCAGAATGGTGAAAAACTGCATGATTTTGAAAGAATTTCTGGCCAGGGGGGAGCTTCTCCAGCTCCCCCTCTGGCTACGGGCCTGATACTGTACATGTACATTACAGGATCAAGGTTAGCTGTTAGCTGATCTACAGAACTGACAGTGACCTGTGGCTATGTGAATCACTGAGTTAAGAGTCTCAAGAGTCACATTTTTAGGGTGACTCACTGACTGGTGAATAATTGAGAACGCCAAAATAAAAATAGATCTAAGCTTATAGTTTGGCTTAGTCTGACATGAAAATAATAAGTTTGTCTTACCAACTGTTGGCATTTTTATTACCAATTCCTCCAGCAAGTGGATTTGTCGAACAGAAGTCCCATCTCTGTTAAGTCGTCAATGTTGTGAATCAATAAATCAGAAAATTGGAGTAAACTCTAAACCGGAAGTAAGCAATTTATAACGTAATCGGGTAGAATCTTATTGAAATATAAAAGCATTTCATTTTTTTCAAGAATAAAAGCTTTCTGTACTCTAACGACGTTATTTTAGAAACTTAGACCATCGTTATATATCAAAGAGACTCCTGGTTTCCTGAAAAAGTCAAATAATGTCTCATGAACAACAAGATTAACTTTAGAAGTTAGATTTCAAAGGATTTCATGATGCTGTTCATCTTCAAGATCTTTAAAATGACATTATGCATGGATACACAAAGACGTTCTTGCTGTAAATTGAAGAACTGATCAACCTAGGAGTCATGTCTGGAGTTTTATCCTTGATTTTATGACTATATCAACTCAACTGAACCCTCTATACCTCAACACTGAAGTACAATGGGTGATCGAAAAACTTCAGCATTAAATCGTCTTCGACAACAATTACGCAAGAAGAGAGAATCTTTAGCAGACCAATTTGAGTTCAAAATGTTTATGATCTTCCACTTCAAAGATAAGGTACTGTACATATAGATACATGTAATGATAATTATTATTCTTTCAAAATTCTAGACTCTTTCTTTATCCTATTATCGTCATCGTGTCTATGGCCTTACTCGATTTTCTGTGAACATTGATTTATATGTAGAATCTGTCAATTCTTAGACTGTTGTTTTATTTGGCATTTTTTTGGGAACAGAACATGCATTCTTTAAGTTTCTTTTGAGTTCATAATCTCACATATCTTTACTTCCTGCGAAAGCTATTTGGATTTTGATATAATAGCTTTCCCACGGAGCATTTGGACAGCTGAATGATTGTGACCTTTGAAATCGAATTAAGTCAATCCGCGGCTTACTTTTGGTCTCTAACTGTGTCTTACATCAGTATCATCAATCCTTGTAAGTATTGGAGCGCTGGAGTACTTCTTTTCCGATAAAGACTTGTAATTGTTAGTCGAGTGAATCGTTTTACTGCCAAATTCCAACATGGCGTTTTCTGCTCGGACATTTTCGTAAATCTCCGGAGGTTGTCCGAACCTAACTAATTCTCAAAATTCATTTCGTTTGTTGCGTATCTCGCTCCTAGCGAACCGCCATATTGGAAATTGGTCTAAAAAACGTTCACTCGATGAACAATTTACAAGTCTTGATCGAAAAAGAAGTACTCCAGCGCTCCAATACTTACAAGGATTGATGATACTGATGTAAGACATAGTTAGAGACCAAAAGTAAGCCGCAAATCGACTTAATTCGATTTCAAAGGTCACTATTGATCAGCTGTTCACTTTCCCGTTTGAGAGCCATAAGTTTCAAAATCTAACATGGCTCTCGAAGTGAGTAAACATATCTGACTATTAACAATCTCATGTTATAAAAGTCCCAATAATATTTCACAGTGCTGTATAAAATGTAAGTTTAGATTATGTGAGATTATCAATAATGAAATAATATGAAATGAAATCGGCTGTTTCACGCTATTGTGCGCAAAAGTGTTGCGTAGTATCCATAGCCCTTGCTACAAATATACCCCTATACTGCCAAATAAGGAGATTAATGAGCAAGTGTTATCAATAACTTATTTTCAGACATGATGCCATCATCACATATTAAAAACAAAAACATAAAAAGTACAACCTATTTCTTGCTATTTTAATCCCAATATTTATTTCTAAAAGGTTTCTGACTTCCTATTCCTTGTTTGTATCCAGTTTTATGTATTTTCTCAAGAGTTTTACCGCAAACAATGTGACAAAAATGTAAAATTAGACTCCGGAAAAAACACTTCAGACTCTGGAAAAGCTATTAGACTCTGGAGCAAGAGGGTTTTAAGAAATTTAAGACTCCGGAGAATCTCAGGAGTCTAAAAGTCTAGTGAGAACCCTGCATCTGACAAAATGTCCATTGAAAAAAGAGCTCACAACAAAACAACAATTCATAACAGAAAAATGTAACAAACAGGCAAACACTTGTAGATATTGTGTGATTTAGTTCAACTAGGCTACGGACACTACAGGGTAATGGACACTACATTTCATGTTTCTCACCATGTAAAATGAGAAAGATTGCAATGCAAGATGAGAGCAATTAATATAGAGAACAATTGTTTGATGCTCCCATTCAAACCTTTTAAAGCAAGGGGGCTACGAACACTGCAGGAGATTTTGCACTTTTACCAGCTTTTACAAAATCTACTACTGCTGCTGGAAAAGAAACTTGTGTTTCATGCAACTATTATATTTCATGTAATATGTATCAGAATGTGTAATCAAGGCAACAGATGTATTATCTGACCATTAAATTTTCCTTTCTACCTTGTGAAATTCGTACAATAGATAAAATGGTATTTTCCATAACGAAGAAGACATATTTTGGAAACAGCAACTGAAAATGATCTAATGATCAGATTTCTATCAAATAAATTGTCAAATGCAGGAAATTAAATACATTTTTCGACAGCACTAAACAGTTCAACATCTAAAAATTGAATAATAACGATATTATTACGTTATGATTAAGGAAAAAGTTAGTGCAACAACATAACGCTGAAATTTACAGTTTTCGGCATATATAATTGGGCCATAACTCCTAAACCGTCAGACCTACAGTATTAACATAGAGTTTTGCAGGAAGTAAGACTGGTTATATCCATGTATTATAACTAGGGATGGGACGGAACAAAAAAACTTCGGAATGGAATGGGACGGTATTTTGGCCTTCGGAACATCGGATCTTCGGAACGGGACAAAATTTCAGACTGATAACGCTACTGGGCGTTATTTAAAGTGAATATGGTAATCTTTCTATTTACCTGATCATATGAAACTGGAAGTGGATTTGTTTTCATTCCTAGTCTATCATCGTAACCCCCTTAAAATATTCTATCAGCTGGATCTCAATGTTCCCGGTATCTACCTTTATAGGATCATTCAGATCTAGTGAATTTAACCTCTCTTCTTGAGGGAGTTATTCAAAATACTTAGTGACAACTCTCGATAGATCAGGTCACTGAGGCCGGCATTGATAAACCTACTGCGCAATGTGTCTGTGCAGGGAGCATCTCAAGGAATGTCAGCTACGCTGAAACTTTTAATATGCCTATCTAGCGAAGGTAACTTAGGCTTGCTTTGTTGCATTTTTGATTCGCCCCCTAACCCACGTGCTTTCCGATAAACATTGCCAAGGGATCAGTCAATTTGTTTAGGTTTTTCATTGAAATTACTTAGTCTATCACAGAAATACGCTAAGGAGAAAAAGATCGGTCTGCATTATCCAAGATGACGATGTAAACATTCATTAAAATTAAGTTTTTAACCTCAATAAAGTGAAAAGTGGTCATGAAGATCACTATAAAGTACTAACCACTGCTTCTGGAAGAAAACAGGCAATGATTCAGAAACATTTGTGCTGGTTTTGAGCCCCTTGTCCCGTTCCGAAAAATGCTGCCTTGTGTTCCGAGTTCCGATACCGAACCCAAATACCTCGGAACAGGACAGTTTCGGGTAACCCTAATTATAACATGACAAAATACTTTGCAAGTGAACTAAGTTTCCTGTTTGAGTCCTTTAACAAGACCAAGGTACAATAGTGTGAAATAGTGTGAAATAGCCGAATGGAAATGCAATGTTGTGCACATAAAATCATGTTATCATTCTCTTTCCCAACCTTGGTCTGTCACAATAACTTTTTCAAAGAATGCCTAGATTTTTTCATAATGCTGCATTTTTGAAAATGAGGTTCCTCTATGTGTAAATCCACCAGTGTTTACAATAATGTGCAAAAATTATATTATTACAGTAATAATAAGTACAGAAGTTCAGTATAATAAGTAGAAATAGGTATGTAACAGCTGACTGTTCAGGCCAAAGGCAGACTGCTTTACTTATTTGACAGAAGCTATTTAATTTCTCAAAAGTTCCAACATTACTGATCTAAAAATTGATTATTTGTTCTTTGACTTGCAGATTCTTTGATGTTATCTACCAATTAAGGTAAATTTCTCAAAAGTTCCAACATTACTGATCTAAAAATCGTTCTTTGACTTGCAGATCCACAACTAACAATTTATGAGAAATGGCCCCCTGACTTAGACACATTCATGAACATTAGTTTCCTTTTTTGTTCGATCTTTCAGAAAAAGCCATGTGCCTTATTTGAGATAGCAGAAGTCTTGCCAGTGATGACCAACAATTATGAAGACAGCATTCTTAAAGGAGTCAAGGTTTGATTTTTTTACTCAGTAGCTTTTACACAATTATTATGAATGAATTTCTATTTGTGAATTTAGTGATAAATAAGATGACAAGCTATGTCAAACTATTTTTTCTTTTTCCTTTAGGAAGAGGCCTACTCCATGGAGAGCTCAAAGGAATTGCTAGAGAAAGACGTAGTACAGTTACATGCCCCAAGATGGCAATCACTTCGCAAGGTATAATATTGCAATGATTCAAATATATTCATTTAACGCTTCGTGACTTTTGATGGACTAGAGATGGAATGACATGCCAAAAGGGAGGAGACTAGGACATGTATCGATGGGGACAGGGGATGGTAATGGCATGCCAAAGGGAGAGTTGATACATGTATGATATTTATATACATGAATGAATGATATGATGTAATGTTGCAGGATGTGATAGGCTGTACCACAGAAATGGACTTCTTCTTATGGCCAAGGAACGACATTGAGAAGATAGAGTGCATGCTATTCTCCAAGTGGAGGGGAGAGGAATCACCATTCAAACCGCTTCAGGTAATTTCAACTAAAGGATGTCAATAATGTAATGCTGTATATAAAATATAAAGAGGGGAAGGGGAGGACTTGCCATCTCATCAAGTATGTAGAAGTAATGCATTTTGTGCAGAAGTGAGATCTTGAAAAGTTTGAAAGACAGATGGTGAAAATAAACACCAGAAGTGGTGACATTTTGTTATAGTCTCCAACTTTTTTATGGACAGTGTTCGGCATTCAGTGGTTGGCGTTCAATGATTGGCATGTGTAACAAATGGCAGGTAGTGACATTTTACATGTTAATGCCTTGTTTTTATTTGAACTTCACTGTACAGTAATTGTAAAAGTTTGATTAGTTGGTTCGTTGGTTGAGGTGATGACACAATTAAACAGCCACATCAACTACTGTATATCCAATTGTCTCCTCGAGTCCACCCCTTGCCATTTACCTAGTCTCCACTTGCTCCCTACTTACCTATGACCCGATCTCATTGTGGTTTATTTGTGATTTAGACTAGTATTTGGCTTGAAACACAATAGAACTTGTCCACTATGATTTCAGTGTGAGTTTACATTCAGCCAGGAAGATTATGAGAAACAACTTATGAGGTTGCTGACACGGAAAGATAAATCAGGGCTTATCGTCAATAATCCTGCGCAGTCAATGTTTCTATTTATTGATAGACAAACTCTTGACGTAAGTAGAAACTGAAATGGCAGTGTCTGTAAGTCTAATAAAAAAATAATGGTGTGCAATTTGCACCCTAACATAACAAGTCCTGTAGTGTCTCATTTTTTTAAATATCTAATCCAAGGATATTAATGTTTACTGTATATCACAGCACAGAAACAAAGAAATAGCTTAATGAAATTTAACAGCCTTAGAGGTGAGAGCTATCTATTGGCAGTGCCAAAGTATAAAAGCATGATGTTAGTGGCCAAAGGATGTGTCCGGATATATGCCCTTTTGGTCCCTCAGTCAAATGTATGTGAAATATTGTTTTTATTACTGTCCTAGGTATATTTACTTTTTCACGAGTTTTGATGCATAATTAACCCCCTGCTGAGAGTCAGAAAAAGTATCTTAACAAATAAAAAAAGGGTCATTATCATAGAAAAAACACCAATGGCAACATGTATGACATACAAAGAAGAAATTACGTAAGATCCATGAAGAATTAAAAAGAAAATCATATTTTTGAAATATATTTAAAGAGAGAATCAGAGATAGCGAGCAGGCTAAACAAAAAATTGTTCCAATTTTAGAATATTTTCGGCTCATGTCATTCCTTGACATGTCTATTTTCTAAAAATCAGAAAAGTGCGTACTTTATTCCTGAAAAACTAAAGATTTTTACAATAATATATTATTTTTCTATAAGAATGGTTACCATTCTTATTATTTGGGAGAATTTAAACATTTTTTACCCATTTTTTCACTTTGAATCATTAATAACTTCACCAATTTATAACATACTGTAAAACGGGTATTGTTAGCGAGGGGTAATTGTTAGCGATTGTTAGCGATCGCTATAGTTTCGCTAAAAATTCAATTCGCTAAAATAAACCGGGGTTAAAATAAACCGAGCGCTAAAATTTGCAAATTCCCAGGAATCTACATGAATACTAGTATTTAAGGAGCTTTTCGTTCAGTGCTCGACTTCCGGTTTGTAATTTGAGATTAGTTTGGACCGAAAAATCAACGATTTTAAATGCTACCGTGATTTTGTGATTAGTCAGATGAGATTACAGTAGTTTGGACCAATACCATGTGCGTTAGAAGTCTTACATTTTAATAATTCCTCTGTCATGTCCGTTATTCATTCTTCTGCCATAAATGATAAAATTTCTATTGCATTTCGCTAATTTGATTTTTTAAAGATTAATCTTCATTTCGCTAAAATTTCCTGCGCTAAAACCCCCTAAAATTGAAAAATCGCTAAAATTTCCCGGTGTCAAAATTACCCGTTTTACAGTATTGTGAATCTCTTTGGAGATATTGTATTTGATATTGTAAGGAATAGACTGGTCATTCAATTATACAAGTTGCTTGTAATTTTGTCACCCCCTATAGATCTGATTCTTCCTTTAAGGATTAAAATGTTTTTCAATTTTTTGAATTTCCCTCCAGTTTAATTTGAAGGGGGAAAAACAAGATGGCTGCCATTGGATGTAAGAATTATCAGAAAAAAAGTTTCACTTTTAGTTTTCACAATGAGCACAGTTTTCCGGTTTAGGTTTTTTGACTGATTCTGACTCTTCATTACCAAGGTCATGTTTAGAGATTATAAAATTGAAACCAAAATGTTGTGCTCAGCATGAATTTGACTGAAATATGTGTAACTTCACCAACACAATTGAAGTCTCAAAACTGGATGCTCAGTACCTTTGAGTGACTATAATCCCTTGATTACCCAGATAAACACCAATTCACTTATCCAGAAATACCATTCAATGTCTATACAAAGAAAGTAAGCAATGTTTTGGAGGATATGTTTCAAACTTTTTGTATAAATAATTCATTTAATAGTTGCCATTGATTTTTTTTCAATTCTGACAAAGTGATATGCACTGTCTTTGATGCCAATATTCTTCATCAATTGTGATACAAATTGATATTTTTGTAATCTCAGAAGAAGGAAAAGATATTGAAGAAAAGAATATGTGTGATTGAGTTGGTTTTTCTAATATTTTCTAAGTCGATACCCAGACTCATCCTTTAATCCCTATATCTCCATTATGTTTTTGATTTGCTGTGTGTATATTGATAAATAGATGGCTGTAGTAGTTTTAAGCCAGATACCAATATAGGCTATATGAAGAAAACATAAATATCAGTCAATTTCTTGATTTATCAAATAATTTCAGTTGAGTTAATGTAAAACTGAACTTGTTGAGTTTTTAAAGCCATATAGCAAAGGCTCTATTGTTGACTAGTCCTACAATATTTACTGTGTACAATGTTTACTGTGTACAATGTTTACTGTGTACAATGTTTACTGTATATATGATGTATATGCCTAATATTGATGTTTTTTTTTATGTTTCAGACAAGCAAGAGTAAAGCCATAGTATTCAAGCTGTCTAGTGTATGTCTCTACCTCCCACAGGTACGTGGCCTATCTGATATACACTAATTATTGTACTAGGGGAGGGTGTTTTAATGTTGACCATTGTAGAAAAATGAAGTTGATTTCATTATTCCTGTCCTTGGAAAACGAAATTTGAAAATGCTGATTTGCATTTCAAAAATCAGCATGCTTTACCAATGAAGTTGTCATAAATCCTTTCCCCAACAAATGTTGACATTTGGGCACCATTTCTTATGGAGGCTTTATTTTTATCCCTACAAATGAAATTTGATATAGGGATATCAAAAAGCTGTCCAATAAATCTGTCTGGGGACCATAACGAATGACTAATACCAGTTGGAAGTTTGGTTTAAATTTCATGAGCTAATACCTTATGGAGATGGAACCTCTGCTTGAGAATGAATTTCTAATAAGGAATCTCAAATCAAAATGGCCATCATTTTTGTCAAAATTAATTGATGATTGGTTAGGTGAGATCTGCTACTCCAGGAAGTTGCTGTTTTTCTAAATAAATAAATTGCAGGGGTATTTGATAAAAACACACTTATGTAAAGTTCTGTATGGCTCTTTTTCTTCCTCACTATCTTTGTGATTGCAGGTTCCAAATGTATTTAAGTATCAAAAATCTAACGAATATACCAGGTAGCTGAATAATATGCATTGATTATAAATGTGTTTTTTTGTTTTTTTTGTTTATTTTTTTCTCAATATACATTTTCACTACACAAGACAGGATACATTATAAATGTTTCTTTCTACCCATTTGGTCGCCTTAAGTAATTCAATTATTTTACTCATTTTTGCAAACTCAATCATGTTCAGTTTGTGTTTCAATAAATCAGTCTTGATTTGTGGCACCAAAATGTGTTCTGTGAAGTTCAAATATGATTGCTGTTCTCACAGCAAACCTAATTACCATACCGTAATCGCCGTAATAAGGGCCCACCCCTAATAAGTGCCCACCCCACTTCACAGAGATCAAGAAATATTGAGGAATGACCAAGTATTAACCAATATATCAGAAGAAAAATCAATGGCGCTCTTTGTAATGGGTTACAATTGGAATTTCAATTTCAAAAGCGCTTATTACAGCGAATACGGTAACTTGTTTTTGTGTATTTCTACTTGCTGATTTCTATGATAGCTGTACTTCATTACCGATCTAGTATCACTTGTGTCCCTCAGGAAAAACCTCTTGGCATTGAATATATTTTTAGGAATAATGTGAAAAAATCAATTTATATAAAAAATGTACATGTGATTAAATTGATAAATCTTAATTGAATTATGCATTGGACTCATAACCCAATGTCCTATTGATAGTTAAACATTCCTAACAACTAGCGACATTGATTATAATGTTTTTTTAATGTTGTCGTAAACCTAGAGGTATAAAAGGTATATTGAATTAACCTCTGCTTTACCTTTTGGCATATTCTTTGTACCAATTCTACTAATTCTACCAATAAACCATTTGCTTTATAGCCTAGCTTTGAACCTCTCTGAAGTTTCATTTGAATGAGATTTTAAGAGATTAACATAAAATGGTGTAAAATTATTTATGTCACAAAATCATAAAAAGTGAAATATCTGTAATTTTAATGTACAGAATAATTCTTTTAACTGAACACATTTCAAAACAATCCTAGAAAAAGTGAATGAATATTGATCTCAATCTATTTTCTATTCATGTTCAGGGGAAATTTTATAAGTTTTCCATCTTATTTTCTCAGAGGAATCTAAGTGGTAACTAGCTCCTGGCAAGTGTCACAGCGCATTTCCTATACTTCTCAAACATATTTTCATATCTCTTGTATTTATTCATTTCAGGACAAATTAACCCACTGGGGGCCTGGGAACCCAGATGAGATTCTACAGCAATATTTTGCTACGTCTTAGCACCATAAGGGACCAATTCTTACAGAGGATGGCGAAAACTTACAGACTTGTACATAACTGGACATGTTTCTTTGGAAAGAAAATGGGAAGGACAAAGAATAAGGCGCTAGTAAATTAATTGGTTGTTTAATGGTACCTAGGTCATCTGGGATCTGAAAACATTTTGATTTTAAGGATGAAATATGGGTTGGGAACATAATAAGTCTGTTTCCTTTTTGAAAAATGATTTCCATTTAACAGACAATTATACCTGTAGGCGCCAAAAAATTGTAACAAAATTTTATTCTGGTCATGTTTTGAAATGTTATCGAGTGAAATCAACATGTCGCAAATGTCTTAGATCAGTTCTGTATACTTTAGAATTTTCTAAATTGTACAGAATTTTCAGGAAATCAGGCCATTCATTCTGATTTTAGAAAGAGAAAACACAGAATAACCATGCCTGACATGGTTATTGCCATCACATCAATGATATCCCAGTCACAATTGATCTGTGGCAACAATACACCGGCCTTAGCTTCCCAAAATCTATAAAATATGCAGCATAAAATATAGGGATAAACAGTACAATGTAAATTTTCTATATCAATTTTGTGAAGCTACAGTGGATGTATGGCTGCTGTAGTAGAGCAAATGTGACTGAGGCTTTTGATACAGTGCTCATATTTTGTGGATAGCAGATCTTTACTGGATTATTTTTCACTTCCTCTCCCATTGATTTATGTGTAAATATTCCTCTAATAAATGTACACTATATTAAATGAAACTACATCATGTACACAGTACACATAGCCAAGCAGCTTTCACTAAAGGAAATGTTTTACTGTAGAGTACATAAAAGACATTTATGAACTTGTGTATGCTCAGTCAAAGTTTCTAATAAGATATGAAATGTTTAATAATTCAAGCTCAACATATACGAGTATGTAGGCCCTTATAGGCCAACTGTCTGTCCAGTGGAAGATCTTTTGAAAAAAGTAAAAGTAGTAGGAGACCAGGTTTTCCTATTTCATTTTTTACCCAAAAATGACAAAAATGCACCACAGTTGTAAAAAGAAATAAATTCTAATATCTTAAAGAATGATCCAAGAACAATTTTTGGTCAAGGAGGTTTTTTAGATGACAAGTCGTGCTCAACATACTTGTTTGTAAAAGTATGGGCTTTCAAGAGGTAATAGTATCATGTATCAATTATTTGTGAACTCAACAAAGGAAAAATACTGTGATTCAATTATCAAGAGTCATGCTAACAGAAAGACTGTAACTGAGGAATTCAACTCAGAATAAAGATACAACTGATATTTTAAATTCTCAGAGAATGTCTCAGAGAATGTCAAAATGGCATCAGTAGATGTCATATTTCCTCAGAAAATCAATGTTCTTTCTCTGTTTTAAAATAACCTCTATACTATATATATTTGGACATAGCTAACATTAGTATGTAATATCATGAGTGCTGCTAATACTATGGCCTTTGGATTCAATGGTCTAATTATCTACTGCACTCAGCAGTTTATATATACCAGATCTTCAAATCAAAAATAGGGAGAATGTGTCATATGTATATACAGCCATAACAATATGGGATATAAACCCAAGAGGTTTTGCTCACCTTCATAGGTGGAAAACAAAATACAATACAATGCAATTAGTTTGGAGCGTAGCATATGATCTAGTAGAACTCCTATCTAATGTTACCAGCTTAATGGTAGAGGTAATAAAGAGACATAAACTGGTGCTAAAACACTACCCTTCAAAGCCACAATGTACAAATCATGCACAGTGAGATGCTATTAGTTGCTGGTGCAGTCTTGAAATAACTCATGCCCATATGGCATCCATCTTGATTATTGAAAATGTGTTACATTAAGTAAATGCTCGCAAAATGTGTTATATTCTCAACTGAACATGGAACAGTGGACACTGTGCAGTAGCTCAATTACATTCATCATCCTCAAACTTGAGTTCATTTATGGTTAAACTAGGGACATAGAGACATTCTATTTACCATTGTGTATGTCTGCTGATACTGGATAGGTTGGTCAGTTAGTAAGTTACTGAAAAATCAGCGTTCCAGTGTTGTTAAGGATTGAATTTATAATAGAGAAAAATTAAATGTGCACATTTTATGATGAAGTTGGCGGTTTCAAGGGGAAGTTAACAATTTCAACTTCATCACAAATGGATCTCTTGTTTAAAAATATGTCACAATAATGGATGAGTCTAATTGGAATGTGTACATGTTTTGATTTTGTGAATTTCAATAGGCTAGTAAATTGTATCGTACAATATAGTGTTAACTTTAATATCATCAGTGCGTGATGGGCTTATTAAAAAGGGTAGACATGAAAAAGATTTTTAGTTAAGGAAATGGCAGTTTACCAACTACAAACGAGGGGTGACCAATAAGTAATGGACGCTTTTTTACACAGATGATTTTTATAGACCAATCCATTTCTTTGCCAGTGTTACATCATTCAATTATCTAACACAACACAACACTAGTTGCAAATCAAAAAAGTTCAAATCTAACTGAAATATGCCAAAAATATGCCAAATTGACATAACATAAGAATATGTGATGGAAATATGGGTCCCGGGGTATCTGTACAGCCTTCACAGAAATAAAGATATATCAAGATGTATTACATATTTTGTCTTCAAATCTTCAGAGTTGATAGATAATTGAATGATGTATCACTGTTAAAAAATCAAAGAGATTGGTCTCTAATGCAAAGCATCCATTTCAAAAAGTGCCAATTACTTATTGATCACCCCTCGTACATGTACTAAGCAAAAAAGAGTATGTGTAGAAATTAGTAAGTAAGTAAGAGATGATGTCTAACAAAATGTTGTATTTTATGGTGTCATGAATAGAATGCTATTGTACAGAGTATAAAGGGGATGATGTCCAAATATCAACAACTGTAGAAAAAGCCATTACTTCATTTTGGTCATGCCCCCTCCCACCAAGCTGTAAACACAATATTGATTTTTTATTTGCTTGATCTTTATTTTCAACAAAAGGAAAAATGCATTGCATATTCAAATAAAATGACAATTTATTGAAACTTCCAGGGGAATCTTCATTTACCCACTTTCCAATGGTGGATAAATATAAACATAACTTTCCAATGGTGGATAAATATAAACATAACCATCTATCACTGTCAATATTTGGACATAATCATTTTCAAAACATGTATTACAGTTTAATATAATCCTGCAAACATTCTATAAAAAAAATATGTGGATAAAATTTATACATAAGAAATACGTATTAGAATCCAAGATTCACATTCAGGTGTTATCAAAGACAGTTCCTTGAGAAACATGTAAATAAAGATGTAGAAATGTCTTTATAATTTTAATGTATATATCTTTGTAACATTGCATTGTTAATTATTTGTTTGCCCTGTCTAATATACCAAATTTTTATCTGAAATATACATAGGCTGATGTATAAACAATATATGTTAATTGTTTTATGATCTTTTATGACAATCGTTTTTTGTGTAAACAGTGTACGAAATTAAAATTTGCTAGCCATTCCTGACATGTTACATAGATCATGTCATCATTTTACCAAGAACAGCTTTATTATTGAAATGGTTCCCTGTATTTCATGTTTTACAGTAAACTGTATATGGTCCTACGCCAGGGGTATCCATATATTGGCTATATGGGGACATGCCACTAAAGTGGGTCACTTTTTCACCGATAAATCCCTAGATGTGGGTTCTATTTTGAAGAAAAACCCCTAGATGTGGGTCCCATTTTGATGAAAAATCCCTAGAACTGGGTCTGCTTTTTGAAAATCCTAAAACTCAGTATTGTTGGAAGTATGTCTTAAAAATTACCTCGAAGTGTTCTTTTTTATAAAAGAGAAAATCCCTAGTTGTGGGTCCATTTTTAGAGAAAAAAATCCTGGATGTGGGTGGGTATTTTGAATCTCAGAGGCACCCCCAGTACAAAAGGTTGTTGACCTCCCCACTCCAGATGGTCCCACAGATTAGAAAATCAGTATAAAAATAAACACGCTTTGTCTGGTGACGTCATTGGTTGCTGGAATTCTATATATGGCTGAATTTTCCATCTTCATAAGGGGTTAAACAAAGCATTTTTGAAATTAACCAGAGGGTGCTAGAAATATACTTCATTTCCATTTGGAATCTGTGTCAATATATCAATCTTCTTCCTGAAAAACAAACCTTTAATGTTGATACCCCAGGAAAAAAATGACAAAATGAAGTAATATTGACCCAACCCCAAAGCATCCTCAATAAGATATATTATTTGATAGAATTAAATGGCCTTAAACTTTTCACAATTCTGAATATATTGAATATACATACTATGGTTGATGCCTGAGGGACTCTTGAATTTAAATAGCAAATTCATGGACAAAAGTTACAGTATGTTGTGATAGAACAATCAGGGGATTTTTTCCTTTATGTAGCCGAGAACAACACCAATTCATGTTCAATTTAAGCCTTAAGGAAGTGAAAGCTATAGTGTTTTGGTCTATTTCGGAAACAAATAATTCACTAGAATCATATGATCTGAGGCTAAAATACTAGTGTTGCTCCAAGAATATGAACCCGACTCCGTATCTAAACAACATCAGTTGTTAGAGTAGATAGTCCAAGGTCTTGACTTGAAGCAAAACTTTTAATATGCCATTCAGACTGTGCTGCAGGAGAAGTTTTTTCTTTGTTGGGAATGTGATGATTGGATGTGTAGTTAATGTGTTTAGCATACATCAATTTTACAATAGAAAAAAGATAAATGGGTGAATAGAGAACTGTATTCTTCAACAAATTAATGGAAAAAATTCTTTGAGTTCAAATCTAAAAAAACAATATGATTGATAGATGGCCTTAGATTGATGCATTTGAAAACCCACTCAGAGTATTGATATTTACTTAAAGTAGCTGTCACTATACTGAGTGGGGTCACCATTCGCCAATGTGTGTAATTTTGGATTATTTTTAATTGTATGTGATAGGGGATATCATGCTCTAGGCCTAAACTATTTGTGCATCGCCGCTTAATCTAAAATATTCACACAATTGCAAATGGTGAGCCCACATGGCCTAAGTGTGACATCTCCATTACCATGATTACACACGAAGAAGCTTAAAAACTTTAACTAGTACACCGCGCTTACACAGGAAACAGCTTTTTTCTATATGGTTAATTAAGAGTCAATGACATCACTTTTCTTTAAAATGACAGCCCAGTTGACATAAAAAAAAATTTTTAAACAAATTCACCAGACCAAAACCTTTTTCTCATGTATTGATAGTTTATAATTGGTATAGCAACCAAATCAGATATAGTCTAATAGCAACTTGTTAAGAATGTACCCTTTCAGTACTACATGTATGCCTTAAGTCCCAGTCACATTTGCTTGATGGCAGCTGTAGCTTAAAAAATAGACATTGAAAATCGAAATCATACTGCATATTTCCGAGGATGAAGAAAATAACCTAGATTTTTCCCTATATATTCCCATATTTTATGCTGGGAAGCTACGGCCTCCATGATGATTTATTTTTTCAACTAGGATCATTTCATTTGTATACACAAGGCATTAACACATGACAAAATCGCAAACCGCCAACCACCAACTGCCATAAAAAACGGAGACCTTCACAATATGTCACCACTTTTTGGTGGTGACATAATAAACTCAATATTTAACTCAACATGCCAAAATATATAATTATTGATACTCATGATATTTATTTTCTTTGACCTGTACATAAAACAATTGTATGATAATGTTAACATTACATATACATGAATGAATATATACAATTGTCAATATAATATAACTGGTCTGTAATCTCCATTTTGTGAGACAGTATTTTAGTGGTTTTTTCAGTAATCCATATATATTACCCTTTTACACACATCTTCAGGCATCAAACCCTGAAAGTATGAAATTGTCCATTATCAAAAGTTATAAGCATTGCATGGTGATGCAAAGATTTTTTGGACCAGAAGGTATGAAATTCCTCTATCTCATTGCATGGCATTGACATTTTACATTCAATTCAAAATGCTACATTCTCTGGTCAATCCCAGTTAAAATCAAGTCAACTGGAGTTTTCAATTTAGTACTTTAGTAAAGTAATTTCATCATTACACAGTTCAGGTCAGCTGTTGAGAATCAATGACTTCTAGAATCCAAGAATTCTCAACTTTCTTTGACCGACATCTATCTTGAATCTTGATTGCATGAATTGAGGCATTTCTTCCACTTTGGATCAGCTCCCCAATCACCATTATGTAGCTCCCTGAAAGTAATATAGTATTCAACTAGAAAAACAAAAATCCCTGGAATAGCATATCCCCATGAAAAAAACATATTTCATCAAATCATTCCTTATTTTTGTCATTTCATGAAATAAATAAACAGGAAGTAGTATTTTCCCTTGGTGTGGTATAAAACGAATCTGGGTACAATGGCCTAAAATGCATTTCAAATTCAGTATCCATATTGATAACATTTTCCTCAAGCAATGGTGTTAAGCCCATAGCCTACAAAATTGAACAAAGCCTGACAAAATGGTATTCAAGTTCTCAAATATTACACTTTTAGATAAGTATCAACATGCAAAATGGCACCACCAGCAATTTGTTACAGACACTAAATGTTGACTGCTTAAGGTGGCTTAAAAATCCTGCTTATTTTTTTGTGAAGCCACTCGGTAAAAGTATGATTTCTCTGCATCCTGATGTCCAATCAAGATGATTCGAGTATCTATATGTTCCTGACACATTTGGGAATCTGGGAATGACAACGACTACCCGAAGTTTGCACGCTATATTGGCGTAATCCATGACTGAAATCAGGAAGACAAAAACATGTGATATTCTTTCAGAATTGTTTATAATAACTATTTACAAAAATGTTCGGGGGACACAAATCCATTTAGGTAAGGTTTGTTTAATAGTCGGAAAGCCCCAATAAGACAATACAAACCCAGATAAAACCCGGAAGACTGCAGATTTCATGATTTACTGTCATGTAAACAAGTAAAGTACATATAATCCCTAATATAAAACACTGGCCTATGTGACATGTAATAACATGTTCAAACTGAAATACAGAGCATTTGCTTCCATGTTCTGTATGCCCCTCTACCTGCTTAATAAGGCAATGTTTCTTCAAATAAAACCTTAGCCAAGCAGATTTAAGACTCTGGGACACTTTTGTCAATAGTTTTCACAAACAATTTTATTTGTCAACCTCAAATTTTGTCTTCCCGATTTGAGTCATGAATTACGTCGATTTCACATGCAACTTGGGTTGACGTTGTAATTCCTGAATGCCCAAATGTGTCAGGAACACATAGATACTTGAATGATCATGATTGGACATCTGGTTGCAGAGAAATCGTAATTTTACTGAGTGGCTTCATGAAAAAATAAAAAGGCTATACCCATCGTTAACAGATACTTTGACAAAAATTGTTAAAATTAGGATTCAGTTCGCTGTTGAGAGAAAATTCTGCAGTGGTCATTGAATGCATTTGAATTTAAAAGTTGATTCAAATATTCACTCACCCTTGGAAATTGTTGGGCACCCCTGAGGAAGTTTACTTAATCCTACAACTTCTATTGTGCCAGTGTCATCATCTATAATCAATGTGTCCCTGGGTCTGTCAACCTAAAACACACAACACAAACATAGGTGAAGGCCGAAGGGTATCATGCACATGTGAGCATTATTTAGAATGTTTGGGCTAAACATGTATAATCTTACTATTAATTTAGAAAATATAGTCAAAATTCATGTAGATTCTCAATGGGTTGTTAACCTCACTGAGATGGTACTCTTTAATAGGAAAAGGGAACATTACCATCAGTTGAGAACTTTTTAATGACCTGGTAGTTTATATAAATACATGTATTTGGATTTATTGGAGACTACAACTATTAGGGACTACCACTTCTGGTGGTGACATAAAAATCAGAAATGCACTCACTGATATAACAGTCCCTTGTATCCAGACAATGCTGAAATCAATGTGTTTCGAATGAGCAATTACACTCCATTGATGGACCTTAGCATCTAAGGCACCATTCTGTTGCTCTACAGCTTCTGTTAACTGCTTCACAAAGAACTTCTTGGATGGAAGAGATAGTCTACTAAACCTGGACATTGTCACTGGGAAGATGAGGTAGTTGAGCGCCTAATGGCTATTCAGTATATTCATTCTACTATCTATGTGAAGTCCCTTTTCAGATATCATATGGAGAGTATATCATGATACACACATCTGAAATTATAAAATGACAAAAGGGGGTCAGATTTTAAAATTGTGAAAAATTTGATCAATATCATTTCTCATGGCTTTATATAGTTTCTTGGACTGAGTCACTCAGTCTATACAATGTTGATGACCTCTAAGCTTTTGGATCATTTGTTTTAAAAAGTACATTAAAAGTGCAACAATTGGTGCATAGGGGTCATTCAATGATCATCGACCAGTCAAAATATTATATGTTTAAGTTTGGATATTTCATCAAGACTAACATTATATTTTCATTATCTACAAAGAAACCCCCTGGATGAACATTATTTCAGCTGATATTCCTCTTGAAACGTGGTGGATCTTAAAAATCTATAAGTGGGACTCCCTTTATAGAAGCTTTGAACTGAAATTATACTTCTTAATGCTGAAATTGATAGTTTATACATACATTTTAAGAAAATACTGTCAAAGAAGGTTTTAAGCCAAATATTGACCCAATAGCTCGGAAAAAATAAAGATTTTCAAATTTTCTCTCTACAGTCCTTGTTGCCCCTTTAAAACTGGCACGACAAAACACCTCTCATATCTTAACACCTCTTAATGTGAACACTTTCAGCCGCAAGTTTATATGCTCTCTCCCATGTTAAACAAACCTTGAAATAGGAACACCTGCTAATCTGAACAATTTTGGCTGATCCTAGTGGCATTTGGATTAGACAGGTCTACTGTATATTTGTATTATCATTTAAGGGGAAACTAATTCTATTGATTATTTGTCAATTGAAATAAGACCTATAGGCAACATATGTTATTACAAATGAAGTCAGATGACACAAATGTTATATCAGAATTTAGCCTGAATCAAATTCAATAATAATTCAATATTGGTGTTATAAGATGGAGTGAAGGGTTGTTGCTGCAATCCCTACAGGGTGGGATGATGTTTTACATCAGCCCTTAGCACAGGATTTCATTTTGCGTTTTCATTAATAATTAATCTATAGGGTGTTTCAGAAAACAAGCCCCTAAATTAAATAAAGGACCCATGGCCCTGTGCTCACACAGTAAATTGTAAAAACTACTAACGACACTATATTAATTAAGGAAGGATTAACTTTGTACAGAAAAACTCTTATTTGTCCAAATTACATGAGTAAATTACTAAGTTGTGTAACTAACGCCTGTCGGCTACCGAATTAACTTACTGTTTTTTTTATTGGCAACTCATTTAAATATAGTACCTGCCACTATTCCATTTATATTTAAATGAGTTGATCATAAAATAGTAGGTTCATCCGGTAGCCGCTAGTCACTATTCACATTCATAAAATAGAAGCTTACATTTGGGTTGTTTTAATTTATTGAGATAGTGAGTTGCTCAGTTACTTAGTTATTTTAAAACAATTTTCAAGCAAAGGGAACTTTGAAATACCCTGCCATGTTATTTCCCCCGAATCAGCCACCTGGTGGCGTAACTGGTAACTACCTGCTCACATCTGAGTAATTGCTTATATGTGTACAACCTTTAGATGAATGTGTATCCTGATGTTCAACTAAAAATATTGATTTTAAGTCTCGATCTTTGAAAGTACAGTTTGTGACCTAGTTTGATAACCTTGACCTTTGACCTTGAAAATTTACTTTTATAGAGCTTAGTAGGTCTTTTGTGATTAGGCTGACTTAATTTTGAAACCTTTTGAACTATCGAAGGTCATTGAAGGTCAAGTAAAGGTCAAATCTCCTGAGAACTTGTAGATGATTTTTAAAAAAAATTGGTCAAATTGAAGCAAGTTGAAAATTTTTATCATTTTTTACATCAAATATAACCAGAACAACGGCAACGCCAAAGCGTAGCGAATCCCATCGAACAGAAATGGCTGGCATTTTTACAAACGAAGCGCAAATATCATAAAACAACACACCAGAAAGGCCACCATTTTCAAAATGGTTCCTCACTAGCCAAGTTGTCATCAGAAGAAATAATATGCTTTTAAGTAGCAACCTCTAAAATTTTTGAAAAATCGCACACATAAAAAAATAACACACATAAAAATGGTGGCCATTTTTCAAAATGTGTACAATGCTTATAGTATTCGCATACCAAATATGAACAAAATTGCTCCACTACTTTTTGAGTTACAGCAAAAATCGTAAAATGACGAGTAAAGGCCGCCATTTTTCAAGATGGCTGCCATGTGCTTCTTTAATATCTACATTTGTAGCATTATTAATGTCCTTTATAATTTTTTTACATTTAAAACATATTGCTATTACAGTTTTACATACTGCACCTAAATTACTGTAAAATCGTCACTAAAATGGCCGCCATTTTGAAATGAGCAGCCATTTTGAAAATTGGCTTTCGAGCAGAACTTCTACCCCCATAGGGTATATGTGTACAAAATATGAACAAAATCGGGCCAACGGTATTTGAGTTATTGCCCGGACGGACAGACGGACGGACGGACGGACGGACGTACGGATGTACGTACGGACGGACGGACGGACGGACGGACAGACGGAGGCGTTCCCTATATCCCTCCAAACTTCGTTCGATGGGATAACAATTTAATTCATCACAATAAATAATGAAGTAAAAGGACACACTTTGAGGACCTTAAAACTTAAATTTAACCTACATTTTTACCTTTCACCTAATAAATCATTTTCCCACCAAGTTCAGCCCAGGTCCCTAGTAGGAGCATATTGTACATTGGTTGGAAGTAGGAGAAAGTGTAAAACAATTTTAAAACAATTTTCAATCACAAAACCTGTCATTGACTTTATACACGAGAAAGTTCCTTTTAAACTGTAATTCCAAAAACTTTGAAATCTTCAGAGGTCATATGTTGCACATACAGCAACTATGAACATCAATTTGAAAGCTCTACTTGAACAAAGTGTCTGATTAATTAACTGGGAGTACAGTATTTATTGAGTTTCTGATCATGCTACAAAAGAATCTTGCTAGGATCTATGCCCAGTAACACCAAATGTGAACTTGAATATCATATAAAGCATTAAGCTCTACCAATTAGACTTCATTTCTTTTTAATATGGAGATCATCGGTTTGATAACTGGGTTAATTATTACATCTACAATTCTTGGCAAGTGCACTGGGGTAACTTATATTCCTGGGCCAAAAAGGATGACTTTTGATGACGCCAAAGATCATTGCGCCATTAATGGACGTATAGCTTTGCCACAATCACAGAGTGAAAACAATATACTTATCAGTGTCAAAGAAGCTGCATTCGGGTATGTCACAACTTTTATTTCATGCTTTCAAACATTTTATTTATGTTTAGTTGAGCAGACACTGGTCACAATAACACTATGTGTTTGTCGAAATATTTGAATATACCATTGAAATGGTATTCCAATACCATTGAAATGGTATTCCAATTCTTCAAATGATAAAGATTTAGATTTGTTGAGATAAAAATTAAGTAGTCTTGACTTAAATGTTTTTTCAATGTCATTGTAAAAAATGAATTTTTATAATGCAATGTGACAATATGAAAAAAGTGCCCTGAATGGTCCTATGAAAAGAATGTTTACACACTGTTACTATTATTTCTTTTATGTACCGATATCAATTTTTTAATATACGAAATATTCATATTTCCAATAACATCATCTCATATCATTAAAAAATATATGTTGCTATCAAACATCAGCAGTTAAAAGAAACTCCATCTACTTGCAGAGAAGTAATGATCTTTTTGGGACTGAAGAAACCCAGTGGATTTGAATGGAATCAAATCAACATGATGGTAGATGTGAGTGGTTGCAATGTCTCATATGTAGACCAAACCCTAGAAACTGTAGAAGAAGAAGCCTGTCTAGTTTTGGCTTCAGATGAAGATTGGGAGACTGGATCATGTTTGGTAAAGAATTACTTTGTATGTGAAGAAACAAGTAAGTAGACATTGTTAATCATATTATTTTCACTATTCATGTGAAAAGTATCACGAAATGCAGTAAAAATAAATGTACATGTAAACATGGGCTATTAATTAGATTCTAGTTGAAAACCGATGATATAAATAATATCGTTTTTGAACAAATGGAAATCAGCATGTAACATGTAATACAGCTTCTTTATTCCATAATACAACTGTTTTCCTAGGCTGCGCTCCCTCGGTCACTATCATATTGTTCCTCGGAATAAAACCCATATTCAATCCCTCCCAGTAAATAACCTTTATGTATTATACGGCTGTAAATGTCGGATTAAGCTAATCATAAATGGAGATTTTCTTATATGACATAGTGTCACAGGTATTCACCAAAAATAGAACGGAATATTTGTTTTATAATAATACTGTCATGCTAACCTATCCTCAATTTTGTTAAATCATATTTTAAACATTGATTTTCTTTGAAAATGTGAGTTCTAGGTGGTGGTGAAACTGGAAACTATCTACTCACATCTGGGTAATTTTTATCCAATACCAGGATTATATAGTCCTGGAATTGGATAAGGTAATTTGACCAGTGAAATGAATATATTATACAAATATTTCATTCTACTGAGGTGAATACATGTGCAGATATTCCAAGAAGCCCAAGTGGAATATCATCTTGTGAAGGTGCCACAGATATTCAACAAAAATAAAACTGAAGATTTGTTTATATTATATTAGTGTCAAGCTGACACTATCTATGTATATGTAAGAAATAATAAACTTAAAAATTATCAAGCAATGATCAACACTACCAAAAGATTATTATATAGTGTCAGTTAGACCTATTGATTTATTCATCACAGACCGACAGGTTGGATTTTGAAATCACTAAAACAACTTGTCCTGTCCATTAATTGTTACACTGAAGGAAATAAAGTCATATGAAAAGTCTTTGATAGAGGATCCAAATGTGATCCGAAATGTTCTGTGTTTTCAAAATAAAGTTTGTGTAAAGAAGGAAATTGTTTTAGTGATCTATTGCTTTATTATTTATCTATAAACAGCAATGGCATATGTTCTGCTTCAATGCCATGAATATTATATCAGAAACAATCCACTATTGTTGTTTATTTAAGGTTAAAATTGTTGCTAAAGTTTATCATATACAGTATATACATGAACAGAGAAATGTGTTAGGAGTCCGATAACATTTTTACTAATTCTGCTTTCAGCAATAGTGTGTGATGCAACAACTGAACAAACTACCACTGAGCAAATTACAACAGAACAAACTACAACTGAGCAAATTACAACAGAGACAACTACAACTGAGCAAACCACAACTGAGCAAACTACAACAGAACAAACTACAACTGAGCAAACTACAAGTGAACAAACTACAACAGAGACAACTACAACTGAGCAAACCACAACTGAGCAAACTACAACTGAACAATCTACAACTGAGCAAACTACAACTGAGCAAACTACAAGTGAACAAACTACAACAGAACAAACTACAACTGAGCAAACTACAACAGAACAAACTACAACTGAGCAAATTACAACAGAGACAACTACAACAGAGCAAACCACAACTGAGCAAACTACAACTGAACAATCTACAACTGAGCAAACTACAACTGAGCAAACTACAACAGAACAAACTACAACAGAACAAACTACAATTGAGCAAACTACAACTGAGCAAACTACAAGTGAACAATTTACAGCAGAACAAACTACAACTGAGCAAACAACAACAGAACAAACTACAACTGAGCAAACTACAACTGAGCAAATTACAAGTGAACAAACTATAATTGAGTATACAGATGCTACAATAGACCCAACAAGTAATGCAATAAGTATGAATATTGTTATTCATCCCAAATATATACAATTACGAAGTACTACATCTACAATTTATAGACCAATAAAAGCAATTGAGTATACATCTGAAGAAGCTACAGGAGCAACCTTTATAGGTGGAACAGCACTGTTCCTTATTATATCCATGATTGTGTTTATCATCATGCTGGATATAAATATATTCAGACTGCATTTCAAATTAATGTACAGAAATGTTTGTAGTGTCATAACTCATTAAAAATTCTTTGAGTCATGTGCTTAACTTCTTTTAACACATTGCAAAAGTTTGTATGGTATCATTCAAAAGGTTTGTCCTTTTGACCCATGAGTCTATGATGTGGCTTGACAATGTTTTCTGCAGCAAGATCTAAATCGAGATTAACTTTTTAACAGTAGAAAGGAGAACCTTTTTAAGAAGGACACAACTATTTTATTCTGGAAGTGATCATCATGAAATTTTATCATACTTTTAGAAATGAGATGAATTTATACATCCTGAAACATTTTCTTCGAATTATTAAAACGTGCGTTTGAAGAACAGTTTTTGTGAAGCGATAAAATTCAATTTTCCATATTTAACCGTTACATATTGCTTAAAATCAATAATTTTCCCATTACTGTACGAGCAAAATAGAATGTGGCTATTGGCTAAGTAACATAATGAAGCAAAGTCTTAGTTTTCGTAAAGCAATAGATGGGCGCTCCACCAGAAATATATTATAAGAATTTTTTACGAATTGGTTCCATTATTCCATCATTCTCATGAGTGGAAAAGGTCTCAAAAACATATTTCTAGGGAAACGCCCATTGATTTATTTTTATTTTTTAAGAGTTAAGATAAATAGGTATCTTACAACTATGACACTTTGCTCCTATCCCATCAGGCCATACACAGATTTTAACCACAAATAAAGAGTCTAATCTTAAAAAACGAGTTCATTGCCTTGCAAAAAATGTTCTTAAAAAGCAATTTTTATATCACACAAGTTATTTTTGGGAATATCTAAGATCACCTAATATCTAAGATCATCTCTGATGCAGTGTTAAACTTCCATGATGACCACATCCAGAATAAAAAATTGTCCTTCTAAAAAGCTCTCCTTATCTGGGGTTCTCCTTTAGAAAACATTTCACTCACAAACTTAGTATAGTTCAAGTTGGAGAACACTATACCAATGTGGGAAATGAGCACCCATTCTGATACTCATAGCATCTCTCTCTGTTGCATCGCAGAAGGATAGAGATGGAGATGACGTGGCTTACCAAGATAATGAGCACCAGAGAACAGACAAATGTCAAGTCTGAAAAGAAACTTGTCTACACAAACTGTGTGGTTAAAATTGTCCAGCTAGATTTTGCTGAGACATGAGACGATGAATTTTGTTTACACATCAAATGAAAGAATATACCGTAAATTGGCCTTCTTCTGAGGATGAAGTTGCCGACAAATGAAACAATGCAAAATGTAGAATTCGATGGTTAACCATTTCAATCATTTTATAGCCCTCCCCTCATCTCTGTATCTATGTATATATTTTTTATTTTTAATACATAGACCAAGTACAAAAATTGTCGAGTGTGTTTTCAAACTGTAGGGTCAAAATTTTGACCAGTTAAAGAAAATTTGTCTGGAGTGTTTCAAAGTGACTGGACAAATTTGTCCAGGCACAAAAAATGCTTAATTCCCACACTGCCATACCAACAACCAAGGGATCTGTGCTTGATTCCTGGTGATTCTTTTTGGTAATTTGTACATTTTTGATTTTCTTTTCATAGGGCAGAAGTTGAAGTTACTCTGAACATTCCAACCATTCTTATTTGTATTTCATCACTTTGTTTTACATCAAGTTATGACAAATGGGATTTGTTGCATCTAAATGTATGTTTTTATCATATTGTATATGTTTCATGAATGTCTGTGAAGATCCTTTACCTTGAGCCCTACTTTTGAAAGATTTGTAAAAGGTATATGTATTGGTTTATTTATTACTTTTTTTAACAGGGGAGATACAAGACTGGATGCAAGACCATTAATAATTCTTTGAATCTATGTCATCAACTTCACAAACTGATTCTTACCTTTTTCTAGTCCTTAAGTAACAACAAATTCTCCGTAATCTGACTGAAAATGAAAATAAAGTTGTATCAGAATTATTAAAAATAATAAACTACAGGATGGGCCAAAAGTCCATATTTTTAATTTTGCCATCCATTTTCATAATGAATGGATTTCAAAAATATTTTTGAAAAATTGAAAGCCTTCTGCAATTTCTTTTAATATGATGAATAAATCTTTGGAGGTTCCTCAAGAAACTAACTGACTAAGCATATATGTATACCAAGGGTTCAAATGTATTTTAACATCTAAGTGTTTCTACCACTCTAGCTTGAGAAGTGACGGAGTGAGTAAGGAACAAAATGGGGTAGAAGCGCACAAGCTAAATTGCTCTAAACGATACAATCTTTGAAAATTTGATATCATTCATAGAAAAAGAAAAAAATGAAAAAAATCGAATTAAAAAGCGATTTATTTTCCCTATTATGACATTTTTTTTGTTTCAGACAATTTTCTAAAATTTCAAAGATTGTATCATTTAGAGCAATTCATCTGGCACATTTTCTGAAAAATTCATAAGGTTCTGTTCGGTGACCTTTCCTAAGCTATTTTTCAGTCTTATTTTCAGAAGGCTGAAAAAGTTATTTCATCATGTTTAGGGTCATTCTGACCATGTACATTGTGATCCCGGTCATGTAAATGATATGTGCAACTCGTTAAACTGACTGGAGGTCAAAACAGAACTCTGTTATCTTGGTTCAAATTTTTTTATTATAAGTCTGTTACACTGCATCAATTTGGCAAGCAGTTTAACCTGAAATATAAGAAATCTAAATAATATTCTGCAAAAATATATAGAAAAACATATTCATATTGCACACCACGAATGACATGTTGGGTTGCTTGCAAACTGGCTCATAAAGTCTGTAACCTCTTATATTTTGATGCTTCTCTAATCTCTACCATGTTAATTCTCAAAAAATAACATGGCGGACAGACCTCAAATTACAAGAGGGCACAGGCTTATTGCACTAAACACTAAATAATCTGAAATATACAAATGTCATTCGTGTGCAAAATGAATATATTTTTCTATATATTATGCCACAATGGGCTATCGATTTCTTATTTTTCAGGTTCAACTGCTTGCCTTTGAAGCAGTGCACTACCAAAAGTCAATGGTAAATTTCATATGCACCATTTTGTTGAATCCTTTGATTTGATTGGTTACCTTAAAAAACAATATGGCCGACAAGGAAGTAAAAACAAAAATGAAATTGATTAATCTTAAAAATGTGATTTATCTGCACAGCTCCTTTAATTTAAATCACGAATATATCAGGTAAAAGTGTAACTGCACACACTCACATATATTGTCTAAAACGTATTAAATTGACGTCATCAAAACAGACATTTACTCCAATTTGAGTGGCAATTTTCTCAGAAACCGGAGCTTGATATCTTACAAAACCACATTTTAGAATGCGTTTATTCAGACAAATGTGTAAAATTAAAGATTCATGAAGGTTCAAGACTCGAAATAAGCATCCTTTGTTTACGATGTTATGCCTCAAAAGCAAGAAATTCAGACATGATTACGATAAATAACCCCTCCTATTTCCATGTTAAAAATGTGGGGTGACAACGTAATTGAAACAAAAGTCGTTTTTTCCGGTGCACAGTGCATTGACCAATCAATGGATCGGAATCAATGTATCAGAGCGTAATCTGGCAGAGAATCGACGATTTAAATTTTCCACACCAATTCTCGCTGCAATTCATTCTATTCTACGATGCATATGTTTGATAAACGATATTATCAAATGTAAGTAGAAGGTGTATTTGAAATATAAGACCGACATTTATGCTTTGAATTATGACATTTGAGATCGAAAAATGCAAATTAGATCTAGTTAGAGGATAATTTTCAATTGACTTTTGGTAGTGAAGTGTAACAGACTGTAACAGACTTTAGAGCAATTTTTTACCAAAATGTTTTTCCAGCTGTACCTAAAAGTATAGGTGCATTCATGCACCCTCTGGGTCTCTGAGGATCGTGTTGGCCCCAACAATGCAAGTCCAAACGACAATCCAACGCATTAGAGGCGGTGTTCACCGTCTACTAAAAGTATGGAGTTAGAAATATTCTACTCACACAAATACTACAGGATACTACTTTTGCAAATGTATTTGCATTATATTTGGCGCTACAAGTCGAAAAATCGTCGAAAAATCTTACAAGTGTATTTGAAAGTTTTTACTTTTTTATTTTGACTGGAGCAGCACATTATGGTAGTCGTTTCCGGTACTGGTGTGTTGTTTGGTTTCTCTATTTCGTGCCATTTTGGCTTCTTAATTAAGAAAGTAAATTGAAGAATAAGATTAAATAAATAATGTTATCTGTTATTGGATTTCAGTGGTGTATTTCTGGTTTCATTTCTTTGAAATAAAATAATACCAATCTGTATGTAGCGTAGTTAGCTTGAATTCGTGAAACTTTCTTCTGACTTGAGATTCCGATTGTTACTTATTTCCATGATATACCATGGAGAATTTCGAGTAAAATGATACTTCGGATCTTTTAAGAAAGCAGAGCACCATGCGTATAACAAAGAGGAAAGGTAAGAGTTTGTCTTTGTAAACTGAGTTTCTTCATTTTGCCATCTAAAGTCTAGAGTCAGTACGTCTATTTCCAAACACCCCCATCAAAAAATGTAGTTAGACTAGCTTGGCTGTACTGCACATCTATGCTATGATTTTATATATATTATGTGTATTATCCACTGTAGAATGCATTTGCAGAAAAAATTACGAAAAATTGTAAAAAATATCTGGGTTATTCCATTTTTAATACAAGGTATTTTAGGGGGGTAATTCCGAACAGGAGTTTTTTTGGGGGGTAAATCCGAACACTTGCATGGGGGTAATTCCAAACACTTAACTTAAACTTAATTGTTTTAATTATTAGATTGATGGTATATCATTATATGATACCCTTAACTTATGATACTGGATCCTGTCACCCCTGCATATCAAGAAACCCAAATTTAAATCATTTATTCCTGACATCTATTTATTTAAACGCACAGAGTTTGTGGGGGTAATTCCAAACACTAGCATGGGGGTAATTCCGAACACCTAAATCATCATAATTGATTATTTTATTGTAAGATTGTTGGTATACATCATTATATTGTATCTTTCAGGCTATAAATATTATGTAGAGGTAGTAGAGGTACTATTATTCAATTCAATGATCTGCTTGCCATTATTTGGAACCCGTTCGTGTTTACCCCCCTGTTTGGATTTGGACGTATTGACTCTAGATCACAAAGTTGTTCACATGCTAGGCTAGTATGTATCCAACAGACCGAATATAATATTCGGTCTGTTATGATTGATATATTTCCTGTGGAAATCGCGGTGATATTTTTTGCACATTAATTTCTCGTTTATTACAAGAATGTTCACCTTGAAAATTGGTGAATATGTTGAAGAGATGTTCATCTTAAACTAGAAGCAAAAATATTTGTATAAGGCGGGTACAAGTTGATATAAAATAATGAAATGTTCAGACTCACCAAAACTTCAGGATGTGTTCATAAGTAGATCGCGAAATCAATGTCAAGGACGTTTGAGTTCACGAGATCCAAACGAGATATGCAAATTTTGAACTTTGATAACACATGACCACTTGATTACCTCGGCCTTCTTCATGAATATTTCCGCTCTATTTACTATAAATGAAGAAAATTAATCGGAATAATGATAATAAATGACTAGATCTAATAAATACCCGCACAAATGGAATTTATCAATACGCTTCCTAGTGTTGCTCCGTCCGCTCCACGTGTTATTTGTTTACAAATAGACTGACCTCACTGGCTAAATCTCGTTTATCGTGAGAATTGGCATTGCCAAAATGGCTTGACCTAATCAATGGCTTCGGTACAAGAAGCGTCTGTATATTTTATGAATATCTTCAGTAAGAGGACAATATACGAAAAAATAATATTGTAAGTTCTTTATAAGGTAATCATTTTATCATTAAACAAACTTATTTGTAACATTTATACAACACCACATTTTACAATAGGTGACTTACAGTCTGAATATTTATTCAGACGAAGGATACAGTCTACATGCAGGCTATCTATTGCAAGACTTACGCCTGCCACAACCATTGCCATGTTAATCAGTGTTTTTAAGTAGCGCAAGGATCCTGCCATGACCGTGGTAGTGTTATCGTGTAAGCCTGGTATAACCGTGAAAGGCTGGTATAACCGTGACAATGTTGTTTTATATTGCAAGGCCTGTCATGACCCTGGAAGTGTTATCGTGGAAGCCTGGCGTGTCTGTAAACTTTATTGTCGTTTATAAGTGAATGTGAATATTAATGTAGAGTAGTAATTTTGAATTAGACATGATTAAGGTAATTAAACACCATGATCATAGTATTAAACTGGGGGTCATTAACATAACTTTCGTAAAGTTACGAATTCGCAAGTCAATTGTTAATTTTAAGAATTTGGTAAATGTGCATTAACAGAACTTTCGTAAAGTTACGAACGATTCGCAAAGTTACGAAAAAATGACGTCACGTATGCTTTCGTTCGTAACTTTAATAGCACCTCAGACCCTTTCATAACTTTGCGAATGGCACATTTCTCGTCCAATTCTTATGTAAGGTATACAGGTTGGCAAAAAGAAATTGTTCTTTATATGCATGCTGAGTTTCAAGCTAAAATATCTACCTATTCTTACATGATAAGCAAACATGTTGCTGAGCTGGGAATCTTTGAAATCGCGGAGACAGGTTTGATCACAGCGCGCAATGATATCAAATGACATCATATTTTTATTTGTGCTAAATAATGATATAAGATGACGTCACAATTTGAAATTCGTTTACGAACGATAAAACTTATGAATGACTTACGAAAGTGTTCTGTTAATGGCCGATTCGTAACTTTATGAATTCGCAAATCATTCGTAACTTTTTAAATATTTACGAATTTCATAAAGTTACGAATTACGAATTCGTAACTTTGCAAAAGTTCTGTTAATGACCCCCTGTTTAATTGTAATGACGATCACTTAAAATTGTTAAGGATATTCCTGGCATTAATGTCATACAAATTTACTAGTCATTGCAATACATTATAACGGTCATAGTAGGACTAAGCCAAAATTTCTACATTACCACCCTCATACCCAGGCCTTGCAATACTATATTACATTGTCACGGTCATACCAGACTTTGCGATCCCATAATACATTGTCACGGTCATGCGAGCTTTTGAAATACACATTGTCACCAGGGGCGTAGGAAGGTGTAAATTCAACACTACGCCAAAAGTCCCGCCAAAAAATATGAAACAATTGTGTCAATATTCTATATCAAAACGCCTATATTATGCTCATAAACGTCATTTTATGGTAATAGAGATTTTAAGCTTGCAATATACACAACCTAAATGTGAACGGAAATACTTAAGCGATGCAGTTGTATGGGCGATTGGTCATACATATAGGTTGGCGTTTCGATTTCATATGCAAGCTTTGAATCCCGATACCTTTTTAATGTGCTTTAAAATGTTCGAATGATTTTCACCATTTAAAATCACCTTGGAAAGCCTATCTTTTAAATCTCGACACAAATCATTCTCACTTTGCTAATGTCTCGAACGATTGAGACGACCAATTTCCAAAAAACAATTAGAGATTTTTTAATCATTTTCGAATAATTGAATTAAGATATATAGTATTGTCGGATTCCATCGTGTACCGTGCAATACAATACGTACAGATTAAAGAAACTAGTTTGATCAATTGATATAAAGAAACGCATTCGTGATCAATGAAACAAATAAACACACCCACCACAAAGGGATGCCAAAAAATGTTATAAAACAAGAATCTATTATTTTTCAAATGAAAAAAACTAGGTTATCGCTTTTCTAGAACTGAAATCAATGGAACGTGTAATTGAATAATCAGCATTTTCAAGTTGTTTTTGTCTTTACATCCATATTTCAAAAAGTACTACCAATAACAATTAGTGATTTAGTAAGAAAATGATTTTGCATAGCAACGGAATATAAATCGATAGTGAAATTGAAAAATTGGGGTAGGGGAGAATAAAAAAATATACATCTTTTAAAGAGGTTCATCATTATAATTATATGAAACCATAGTTAGCATAAGCATTACGGAAAATGCAGAAAAAATGTCAAAGGTATTCATCAAGTAGTTTTTGAAAAAAAAACAGTTTTCCTCTCAAATTCGTGAAGAGAACGCGATTCACGAATATTTGGCGAAATTGTATTTATAAGACAGTCAACAGTGGCTCGATTTTCATGAAATAAAGCATGTTGGTAAGGGAATTCAATCTGTTAAATGATATTTGCCAGACAGACCAATAATGATATGGTATCCACAAAACATTTCTTTAGGCTAGTGTGCTCGAGATTACTTTTACAATTTAAACAATGAGAAAATATGACTAAAGAACATAGGAAAATTAAAAAGTCTTTTTTTATTCTCACTTTTCAACACTACGCACTGGCGTTTTGGCGTACATTGTTCCTACGCCACTGGTCACGGTCAATCATGAATTTCTACATTACCACTCTCATACCCAAACTTGGAATACTATATCACATTGCCACGGCGGTCATACCAAGCCTTGCAATACTATATTACATTGGCACGGCCATGCCAGGCCTTGCAGTACTATATTACATTGCCACTCTCAAGTTGTTGTTGTAGATTTACTATATTTGCACCTAAGCTTAGTGCATTTAAGTTTGTAGGCCTACGGTCTTCCAATCACAGTAAGTATTCAGTTTTGGGCAAGCCCAAATCATTAGTCTACATTTCTTCTTTCCAAGTTCAATAACAAATATTGTTTGAATTTGCCAGCGTACCCGCTGGCTATCGGTTGATTTCTCCACAAAGATCATCCTTTTAGCAATAATCCCAAATAAATTACACTCTAAAAAGTATGCTGTTCGACGATCAAAAAATCCATTTTCTGAAAAAGCTACATTTACCTACTTACATTCGATGAATCACAGTTTTATGGTCAAGTGTTTTTATCCATTTCATAGCTAGGAACAGAAATACTCCAAAATCGATACAAACTTTGAAGGACAGGTCAGTTATTTTCTTCAGAAAAATTCTCATTGCCCTGTGTTTGACTGACGTCAGATTTCCAAATATTGGGCGAGTTTATCTAACAGGGGTGAAAAATGACATTTATTTTGGCTTCGTTCAGTCATCTCCTTCTCGAGAGCCTGGTGAAGATGTACGACCAAGTCTGATAATTTCTTCTTTACCACATAAAGTGAGGAGCTATACTTGTAACTCCCCATTGTAAAGAAAGATGGCTGCGTTTGATATATACATACCTTGTCCCCTACGTTTCGACGAGTCCATTTGTCGATGACGTCATTTTCTTAGAATCTCTTCCATGTTGGAATTTGAGACGAATGCAAGGGAGAAATGATTTGCGTGATATGAGAGAAGGGGATTTCTATTCAATTTCCTGTGATTAACTGACAAAAGGTAGGTGGCGCTAGATAAGGCATCGGCCAAACTTATTATATATGGAGGGAATACTTAAGAATAAGGCCAAATGAGAGAATAAATGGATTTTTTGATTGTCTAACACCAGAGTTTTTAGAGTATAGTCTATCAAATCCACCTCAAATTGAAGATAATTGGCAAAATACAGAAGAATTTCTGCTTAAAACAGACTAGCCAGGCAATCTCTGAAGGGTTTGTGTAAAAAACGGGTAACCGGGTGACCAGGTACCTAACATAGCAGGGTTAGGAATTTGATTATTTTCATTTTATGGCCTAAAATGTGCCACCAAAAATCCAAGCAACCAACCACCCAACCATGACTTCCAACTAAATGGACAAGCCATCCAACCAATCATGCAAATAACCAAGCAACGAACTATCTACCAAAAAACCAACCAACCTGCAAAACAAACAATCATCGATACCCTGTCAATCACTCAGGCAATAAAACAAGCGACCAATCATATGTCGTATATTGTACGTTAATTGACAAATAAAAAATTGCATACCTTATGCCCATTTTTAAATTCCTGGGGACCTAAACAGGCATGTATAGTCACGTGGCTTTCCAAAGAAGAGGTTACGAGAAAATACCTTTGGCAGTTTCCAACACAATCACTTAATTTAGATTTAAGATATCTATCATATTGGAAATGCAGTAAGTCACATTTTCTCCCAATTTAAAATCAACATGAGGGGTGAGTACCATAATCCAACACAAGTTCCGAACAATGACATATGTGACAAACTATGAAATGCTTGCTCCCATTGTGCTATCAAAATGTACTAACTCATCTAGTGGTTCCATATAATCTGTGATTCTTTAATCCCAATCACTAATTAATGCAAAAGATTTCCATACCTTTAGGATACTAGACATTTTTATTTTCAAGGTATTGTACAAAATTCATGATAGAGTTGGATATTTCAAAATTCTTCAATGGTGCCACTTCTCGCTAATTTACATATGAGATAGCCTTGAATTTAATAGCCTTAACATTTTTATTAGACATGTTGTAAAAGGCCAGCAATCAAAAGACCAGCAATCAAAAGACCACAGTGCATATTGTAATATAGATCAATAAATTCATACTCAACACGCAAAATATTTTGCTGTAACTTTCTAAATTACAAGAGACAATAGTTTATTGCATATAAAACTAATTCATCTAATTGGCCGTTTGATTGCTTATTTTATCAATCATCACCACTAAAAGTCAGATATTTGAAGTAAAAGATTGAAGCATTTTGTCATATTTTTGTAAAATTATACAAGTTAGAAATAATAAACCAAAATAAGATATAAAATCTGTATGTTTTCACTGGTGAAATTCAGGGGGTTCACTTTTGACAACTTTGGCCCAAAAATGGCTAAAATCACTTGAAAAATGCTCAGAATGGTGAAAAACTGCATGATTTTTAAAGATTTTTTGGCCAGGAGGGCCCTCGAACCTCCCCCTGGCTACAGGCCTTGATAAATCTTGATTTCAATCAACCATCGCCACAATTTTTAGTTGGAATTTTTTCTTCTCTACCTTTCCAACAGAGTCATCTGTGGAGTTTTGCCTCAGGTTTTACTTTTACTGCATCAAGACCTTTTACGATTGTCCTTTTAATTTTAAAGAACCAAAATTTACACTTTCGAAAATTCTGTTTTGTTAAGGGTGGATGGATGGTCTAGCAGCTAATAGAATGGATTACTGTACTGTACTCCTAGTAATTTTCGCTTGTTAAAATTAATCTTTGCGAAATTGTAAATTAAATCCCTGGGGATTTGTGAAATGTTTTATTACCTGGGACTCCATTGCATTTCATGTTTTGTAAAACGTTTGTCCAACTTGTTATTGGGCAATATATATATATATAACTTTTATTGACATATAGTATCATAACATGATTACATTAGTCAGAACTATGGTAAACTACATATCTAACCTACAAAACACCAACTAAACTAAAAATACAAAAAAATATATAAAAATATATAAGATAACAATAATAGTGTGGTGCACACACAATGCATTATGACCATGCTAAATTCTTAAATGAATGGTAAATGAATTTGCCAATATGTCTTTGCAAGGTTACATTTTTACTAGAAATAAGATTGACAAATAAATTTTCACGGGCTTTTGTATATAATATTTGCCTATTCTCATCATTTTTTGTACAAGCTAAAAAGAAATGACATTCATCCTCTACATCTTTACAAATATTACATATTCTTTCCTCTAAAGGTTTTGGTTTTGGCTTTGTATGTCTTCCAGTCTCAATTGCTAACTGATGAGAACTCATTCTAAATCTACTTGTAGCCAATCTATACTTTTTATTATCTAGTTTCAAGTACAATTCTTTACCAAAATCATTTTTAAATAATTTGTACGTTCTCAATATAGGATAAGTGTTCAAATCATTTTTCCATTTTTCTACAAATAATATTTTTAATTTCTTTTCAACCATATTTACCAGATTTTCAGTATCCAGATTTTGATTATTCCAATAATCTAGTAAATCACATTTTCTGAGTATATCATAAACCTTGCTTGACCAACTTTTAAACCCTAACTCTTGATTACCCCTATCATATAAGTATGCTTGATTTAATACATTACCCTCTGGAAAATTTTGAAGTCTTAGCCAGTATTTTATAATGTAAGATTCAATTTTGATTGATAATGGGTATCTACCTAGGTCACCATATACAGCAGGGCTTGCAGTTTGTGATTTAACACCTAATGTTGACTTTAAAAAAGACAAATGAATTGACTCAATTGCTTTCATTTGCTTTTTATCATACCATATTTCACATGCATAACATAAAATAGGACTAACTAACGCATTAAACAGATGAAGAGCCACATCCGGTGGTACATCATTAAACTTCTTATATTGTTGCTTTATCTTAAAAAGTGCCTTTTTTGATTGTTCTTTAAGGTACTTAGTGTTCAGATCAAATCTGTTATTATTGGTGAGAATGAGACCTAAATATTTGTATTCTTTGACACATTCTATAGTTTGGTCATTAAATTCAAATTTGAATGATCTTTTAGAATTGAAGATAAGTGCTTTAGTTTTCATTGTGTTGACAATTAACCTGTTAGTCTTACAAAAAGAAAAAAGTGTGTCAAGCAATAGCTGCAATCCGTCACTGGATTCTGAGATCAATACGAGGTCATCCGCCCATAGAAGATGATTTAACCTTTTACCGTTTAAAATAACACCACAGTGTGCTGGTAATTGTAAAGTCAGATCATCGATGAAATGATTGAATAAAAAAGTACTAAGCGCACTCCCTTGCAAAACCCCTATATCAGTATTAAAATAATCTGTTACTCCATTCTTTAACTTTAGACAAGATTGAGATTTGGAATACATATTGTCAATGATTTTATACATTTTGGTATGAGGACTTATGCCACTTTTACTGAGTTTGTATAGCAAAACTGAACGATGCCTTTTTGAAGTCAACCATACATGTAAACAAAGTTTTTTTAAGCAGTTTAGATTTGTTAATTAATGTTTGTAGTAAAAATATGTTATCAATTGTACGGCTATTTTCCTTATATGCACCCTGTAGAGGATCTTGAATATTCTGTACCTGTGCGTTAAAAACAAGTCGATTTTGAATAATGGAGTCAAATACATTACCAATGCAAGCTAATACATTAATACCTCTGTAGTTATCAGCTTTAAGTCTACTTCCTTGTTTAAAAAGCGGACTCAACATACCAATGCTCCAGTCCTGTGGATAATTTCCACTGTCAAATATTGCATTAAAAAGTGCCGTGAAATCTGGAATAAGAGCCTCACAATTACGAATTATGTTTGATGGGATGCCATCAATGCCGGCTGATTTATTAGAGTTTACTCTTTTAAAAGCATTATAAACCTCAATTTGACTAATTCTGTTATCTATGATATCATGGCAGAGATTTAAATTAGGGTCATTAGAATTAGAATTAATTGGAATGTAGTCTTGAATATAGTCATTCATCTTTTGGAGTGCCTCGTTATCAAAATAATCTAAGTTTGGGGGCTTTGCCAGATTTTGAAAAAAAGCTAATAGGTCCTCAGGGGGAACGGGTATATCTTTAATTACATTTCCTGGCAATGCATTAATAAGTTTCCAATCTTTGAATTCCAAATGTCCCTCGTTCTACTGTCATGACTGTCACCACGGTGATGAATACCACACAAGACTAATTTTGATCTGGGATGTTTATTCTTCGCAGTTTGCATTAAATTCTTGAGTTCGTATACCATATCTTGTGGATGATCAGTTGGGATATTATTGGTCCCTAGTCCTATGAACTTGAAATCAGTGGACTCCTTGATATCACCTTTCTCTAAACTGTGCGTGCCCGTCTCTATTTTTCCACCACTATAAACTGATGAGGTTGCAGAAATAGCCTTATCCTTACTCATCATGACTCCTGCTAGACCTTTACCATTGCTTGAGTACATTATATGCACTGTTTTGCTTGTGCCTTTCTTGTGAGGTGGGATTGGCTTGGAGGATTTAGATGTGCTGGCACCTTTGTGAGCCGCAGGGGGTCTACTAAAGGGTCTTGTCGGGGGTCTGCTAGATCCAGCGGGGCCTCTAGTGGGACGAGGTGTACTTGGCAATGAATGGGCTGGCTCAGGTTGGATGCTTTGCGGAATGCTGCAGCTGATTGGATGATTGTCTGTTTGGAGCTTTTCTGTCAATGAGCGCACTTTGTGGTATAGCGTTTTATTGTCAACAATGGCCCCATGCAACTTTTTAGAGGTATCTGATAATTCAGCTTTTAGCTCATTTATTTGGCGTTCAAGGTCTTTTGTGTCTTGTGCATGGAGTATGGTGAATGCCTCTGCCTCGTCTTTTCTTTGCTGATCAGACACCTTAAGCCTATTCTCTAGGTCTACCATTTTAGCAGATTTCAGCTTTATTTCTTGGTTGTACTGAGAATCTAGGTCTTCCATCTTGGACTCTAATTTTATAACTTTTGACCTGAGTTTTTTGTTCTGTGCCTCAAGGTCTCTGTTTGCTGCTTGTAAATCTTTGTTCTCCCCAGCAGGTAGAGCTGGTGTTGATGTTTCACCAGTTAATATGACAACACTTGGATCTGAGGGAGTCTGACTGGGTGTTGTTCCACTAAGGTATAATTCTCCAGTTGCTGGTTGGGTTTGTGGTAAATGTGATACTTAAGCAACGATTTCTGTCAAATAGATGAAACAAACCAAAAAAGACCATGTAATAGAAGTTAAGGTGCAGCATGCCTTTGGCCAAGATCTAGTAGTAATTATCCCATCGAACGAAGTTTGGAGGGATATAGGGAACGCCTCCGTCCGTCCGTACGTACGTCCGTCCGTACGTCCGTCCGGGCAATAACTCAAATACCGTTGGCCCGATTTTGTTCATATTTTGTACACATATACCCAATGGGGGAAGAAGTTCTGCTCGAAAACGGATTTTTAAAATGGCCGCTCATTTAAAAATGGCGGCCATTTTAGTGCCGATTTTACAGTTATTTAGGTACTGCATATAAAACTGTAATAGCAATATGTTTTAAATGTAAAAAAGTTATATAGGACATTGATTAAGCTAGAAATGTAAATACAGAAGAAATACATGGCAGCCATCTTGAAAAATGGCTGCCTTTGCACGTCTTTTTACGATTTTTGCTGTAACTTGAAAAATAGTGGAGCGATTTTGTTCATATTTGGTATGTGAATACTTTAAGCATGACACAATGTTTAATGACATTTTTGGTAGTAGGCGGGCATTTTTCAAAATGGCCGCCATTTTTATGTGTGTTATTTAACATTTTTTACTGTAAGTCAAAAAGTAGTTGAGCGATTTTGTTCATATTTGGTATGTGAATACTTTAAGCATGGCCGAATGTCTAATGACATTTTGGGTAGTAGGGGGCCATTTTACGTGTGTTATTTTACATTTTTAACTATAACTCAAAAAGTAGTAGAGCGATTTTGTTCATATTTTATATGTGAATACTATAAGCATGGCACACTGTCTAATGACACTTTGGGTAGTAGAAAAATGGCCACCATTTTGTACGTTTTTTTACTATAACTTGAAAAGAAGTGGAGCGATTTTGTTCAGATTTGATATGTGAATACTTATGAACCTTGCACACTGTCTCATGACACTTCGCGTAGGTGGCGATTTTTAAAAAATGGCCGTCATTTTTACATTTTTTACTATAACTCCAAAAGTATTGGAGTGATTTTGTTCATATTTGATATGTGAATACTTGGCACATTGTCTAATAAAACTTTGGGGAGTAGTGGGCCATTTTGAAAAATGGCCACCATTTTTATGTGTGTTATTTTACATTTTTTATTATAATTCAAAAAGTAATAGAGCGATTTTGTTCATATTTGATATGTGAATACTCGTAAGGATTGCATACTGTCTTATGACATTTTGGGTAGTAGGCGGCCATTTTAAGAAATGGCCAGCATTTACATGTCATCGCATGAGAATAACTTTGTACTATCTCACATTTTTACGGAACTGAGAAATCAAGGTTTGAAAGTTTAGAGGTCTGTATCTTACTTAGTATTGCTATGTGAAACTTGATTTTTTGTATGTCACCTGGTCTCACCCTAGAGATATCTTATATGAAATATCATACCTTGAAACAATTTACAAGATCCTTTTTTAAAACTATGGAAATGGAGTTGATACAATTTCCCACCGGAATAACAGCTTATTTCTAATTTCAAATTGTCATATCTGATATCAACTGTTTCAACCAATCAACTCTCTAAGAATTGGTCATGTGACTTGCAAAACTTATAACAAAAATTATATATATAAAATTAAATATTAAAACAAAGTATGCCAATATGCATGTTATTGTATCTAGAATGAAAAATAATGTTTTGCTTTGTAAAAAGGTCTTCAAAAACCAAAGAATATTATTTGATAAAATAAAGAAAATTCAATTTATAAAACTTTAAAATCAATTTCTCAAATAAGTACAATTATTTCTTAGTTTAGGAATCTCAGGACACCCTTCAAAAAGAGTTTATTGCCTTTGAAACTAAGGCAGAAGTACAATGCATTGAAACAAATGATGCCAATACGGTCCCCCACATATTTCCCTCGGTATAAACCCTGTAGCCTAAACCTCCCAGCACATTACAATGTAGCCCCTAAGGGCCGGTCCGCTGGTCATTATCAGGTTATTTTTGATACAGACCAGTTGATTTTTTCACTGGGTATAGGAGAATAACATTGCAACTGGTCCGTAATTCCATTTTGACCAGCAGGTTTCAGATCCCTAGGGCCTAAGACATAACCAATTTTTATTACATGCACATGGAAGAAATTTGAAAATAGAAAAATAAATTGTAATTCATTTTAGATTAATGAAAGTGATGAAACCTCGATTTAGGTAATCACATTTTGTTCATTGGGATGCAGCTATCATTATACATTCATTTTCTGTTGTTTGCTACTACTCTGTGGAGTACAATTGGGAATTGAAGCAATTGTAGAAGTGGAGACTAAGAGTGGCTCTTTGTAAAGAAATTGAACCAATTTGTTACTTTTCCAAAATAAAATGTAGATGATCTAAAAACAATGATCCCAAAAATGAAAAAAGAAAGGACAAATCTGAAAAACATACTAGTAATAAAATAACTAAAAAGATCCCAGATGTTCAGTGAAAAGCGCAAAGCAAATCATAGGTGAAGAGAAAATAAAATAAGTGTTTTAAGGGACTATACTAACATAAGGATAACTCCTTATTGATATAGTGTATGGTCAGTAAAAGTTAAAGCTAGTTTAAATAGATTTAGCTTTATTCCACAAACTATAAAACATCATTTTGAAAGAGATTTCAATAGTATACAGACAGTGATTGCCTTTGAGCAATGTACAGTGTGTCTCAAAAAAAATGTTACACTTACAAAAAGTTCAATATCTTTCATGATTTTGACTTTATCCCTACAATATACTTAGATACCAAAATACCAGCCTTTCCAGAATAAATCCACTCCATCAGATTTAAAATCCGTCCATGATTGGCTGCACAGGACAGATTTTATAGACGCATGTGAAATCTGATTTGCGCCAACTTCTCAGTGGTTGGACATGTTGATCAATTCTTTTTTGGTGTGAATGCTGTGGACAGTGATATCTTGATATGATCAATGATCCAGTTGTTTCTTTCCTGGATAGAAATGCAACATGTCATTGTCAAAGGTTCAATTTGGTTACATTTGCTGGCAACATGATGGTACAAGGGCCTGTGGCAGATCGTTTGGTAGAACTCTTTGGAAATCAGAAAGCAGCATTGAATTACCCAATTGATTGGCACCCAGGGTCATCCCACTTTAGACCCTTGCTTTTCAAAGGGCCTCTGAAAGCGCTTTACAGCATCACAAACTAAATCCTCAGATTTGCTTTCACATTCAACATGTTGAGGGGACCACATGTTTATGTGGATAGACCAAATGACCATATGTAAGAAAAAGAGGAAAATTACAGAATGACTCGCAAAGGTCAAACTTCTGCTCAGAAGAAAGTTAAATGTTAAAGAAACTGTTCCTCTTTTGTCATATTGTCCACCCAATCACTTAGAACTTGGCGCAAGTCAGATTTTACTTTGGGACACTAAAAGCTGTCCTGTGGAACCAATCAAGGACAGATTTTGAATCTGATAGTGTCAAATTATTTGAGAAAGATTTGTCTGTTGGTATTCAAAGTAATTTAATGGGAAAAGTCAAAATTATGAAAGATATTGAACTTTTTGTAAGTGTAACATTTTTTGAGACACTCTGTAGTGCAAAATATGACAGTTACTATTTGTTTTGATTACTATATCTAGTATATAACCTATTATTATGTACTCTATTTGAAGAAACAAATAAGTAGTCTTTCATTTTCAACATTTAATGATGACAGCTTCGTATATGCATTTCTATTGCATTTGGCCATTCAAACCCCTATAAGACCTGGTAGCAGGGAAGATAAAGGGTACTTTTGACTGCTCACATGATCTAATTAACTGGTCATTTGTACTTTTCATCTTCCCTGGTAGCGAGGATTTAGGTTTTCGAGGAAATTAATAATTCTATTTCATATCATGTGGCCATGAATAATCCAATGAGCATCCATAATACAAAGAGTAATTGAGGGCATATAATTTGAATATGCATGTGATTACACATACTGTATCATTTTATTTTTTTGATCTACTTGTAATAGCTCTAAAACTAAAACATGAAAGGCCAGGCATGCCAACTGGCATTGTATTGTGTTACAAAACATTATTTCATTCTAGATACAATAACATGCATATTGGCATACTTCGTTTTAATATAAGATTGTTATAACTCCAAGTTTTGTAAGTCACATGACCAATTCTTAGACAGTTGATTGGTTGAAACAGTTGATATCAGATATGACAATTTGAAATTAGAAATAAGCTGTTTGTCTGGAGATGGTACAATTTCACACTGAATTCTAGCTTAATGAGAGGGAATTGAGATGGGGCATGTATCTGAGATGACAGCCTGTGTTTCAAATAGTAAAATTCCATGTCTATCTCAATTTTTTTGAAAATGGCAGATAGTACAAAGTTATTCTCACGCGACGATGTATGCATGGGCGATTTTTTAAAGATTTTATATGTAGCTACTTAAAAGCATATTACTTCTTCTGATGACAACTTGGCTAGTGAGCAACCATTTTGAAAATGGTGGCCTTTCTTATGTGTGTTATTTTACGATATTTGCTATATATTTTGTTTGTAAAATGCCAGCCATTTCTGTTCGATGGGATTCGCTACGCTTTGGCGTTGCCGTTGTTCTGGTTGTAAATCTAATCCAAATATGACATTAGGTAGGTGTACTTACTATACATGAGGTTACTTAATTTATAGAGCTTGAAGATTCAGAGAATAATGAGATTTTAAATTATGGAATCCACAAAATTCAATATACGCAAAATCGTGTTTTCTCAAAATTCGTGAAATTAAAACTCGTGAAATTAACAGGGAGTACAGTAAGTTCATTCTGTATAGATTCAAGTAGAAAACTTTTGTGGTGCCCCATAACACACAGATGTATATCACAACCAGGTCATATACCAATATTTTATCTGAAATGTTAATAATCCTTTATTACATAACTGCAATTGACTTTATTTTAACCTTTAACATCAAAGGATTATCCAACATATGTTACTTTCAGCTCTAATACTGCACATGATAAACAAGATCTTGAGCCTCTGTTTAAGGGTAGAAAAATAAACAAATGAAATGTTGGGAAAAAAATTTGTGACAATTGTAAAACCAAATTCTGAAAGTTGCCTCAAAAATGAAGTTAGAATTTTAGAGAAAACTAATTTAGAGATTGTGTATTGATTATTTTGACATTATCCCTTCGTTTTATATTTTAATGCATTGCATGTCAAAGTATGAAATGCTTTAGAAACACTCCATGAATAAAGAAAGAGGCATGATGCTGTCAAATCATATGTAAAATCATAAATGTCAATGTTTTATTTAAGTATTTCATTCTGTATCATTAAGAAATGTTACAGTATTGAGTCGATATATAAGGTTAAAGATTGGAATATCAGAAGACTTTAAACGGCAGAAACTTTAGGAATATTACTTACCATTAGTAAGGATACTGACATAATATACTAGCTAGGTTCAATGGAGAAATTACTTCGAAAACACGGTAGGCAGCAAGATTTTGAAAACCTTGAAAAACAAAAAATTATAATTTTACCTGATTTGCTTTAGGACATAATGTATGTTGAGTAACTTGAGTTAGACCATGATTTATATTAATAAGCCCTTTTTAATTCCCTGCTTATATTAAAAGTAGGGATAAAAACTTTCGTATGTTGACCTATAAACATAGTGGACTATGACAATGTTCAATTGAGCAATAGAAGTTTTATCTACAAGTTGATATCAATATTCACTAATTGCTGGGCAAGGTGTGTCCAATTCCAGCCAGTCAGAACATGCTATTTCACTTTATTGCATTCAGTTATAAAACCAATTACATATTTGTTGTATGGTTGTCTAGGTGATAACTGGACTCACAGATTGAAATTGATGCTTTGCCAACTTGACTTTTGCAAAAAAGTTTCAATGAAAATATGTTCTTAAGTGATTTTAGGTGACTCTGCACTGAATAAAATATTTTTCTATGTGTGAAAAGATTCTTAGCCCAAGCATTTTGACATTGTGGCTGCTTTATTCCACTCAGGCATTGTTTCCTAAACTTTGCATTTCCACTGCGTGGTCATGCAAAGATTTAGAAACAACACCTTCAATAGAATGATTCAATTTGAGAATCAACATATTATGACAAATCTTTTGAAAAGGGCGGTTTTGGATTCCCGGGACGAGGAGCTATATGGTAAATTAACAGTCATACACATTTATTACAGTTGCCCTGTTCCTGTTTGGTGCATTCTGGGTAGCTAGTGCCATCTACTTTTTGAAGCAAAGTGCAGAGGAAACTGGTTCAAAATCAAGAGTTAGACCTACGTCAAACAGTAAGTACAAAATACGAAAACATACCTCGCCTAGCTAGATTGCACCTTTTTAGCTCTGTAACTAGAGTAACTGAGAACTGTATAAATCTTGTATAGTAATGTGATTTTTAGACTTATTCACTAAAAAGGTTCATTGAACTTATTTTCGATTAAAAATATTTCACGCTGTGAAACTGATGTTTATTTGTTGTCAATCAATTGAAAATGAATAGGTTTGAAAATCATGAAAATGCAATTGGGAGAAGCAAATGAAATAGGTTTTTGGCAGATACATGTACTTTTTAGAAATTTTTATTAAGGACCTTCTTTTAGTGTTCGGATTCAACTTTGCAAAGTTAAAGAGAGAATCTTATCTAGCTAGTAAGAAAACAAAAAAAATTGTTTCAATTTTAGAATATTTTTGGCTCATATCATTCAATGTCATGTCTTTTTTTTAAAATCCCCAAAGTACATACTTTATTCCAGGTACACAACTAACAATTTTTACAATAATGTATAAACACTTTCTCCCATTTTTGGACTTTAAATCCTTAATAATTCCACCAATTTATAACATGTCACAGATCTTTAGGAGATATTGTATTTAGATCATAAAGAATGGATTGGTAGGCTAATTGTACATGTTGCTTTCAATTTCGTCACCCTCTAAAGATTTGATTCTGCCTTTAATATAATACCATCTTTCGACTAGATTTTTTTCAAAATGCCTTAACAATTTAAAGGCCTGTTTTAAACTTGCTAGCAACTCCATTAAAATATCAGGTTACATCCATATTATAATATGATACAGAAAGTCAGGATTGGTAAGTCTAATTAACAGCATTGCTTAATACTTCAAACAGTAAGTACAAAATTGATTTTGATTGACTAAGCTTGAGGACTTATTAATTTGAAAAAGCTATTACTGTTATTAAAAGACCTATCACAACCCAACAAATTGATGGAGTTAAAATCTAACTGCAGAATATGAACACTGAAACATTGAAAGATGTACATAGCAAAATTGGAAACAATATGTTATCTCAATTAATATGAAATGTGAGAAAATTGACTAGCTCTGTGACATGTCAAAAATTATGTTAATTTGGCTGTTCCATTAATGTGCCTCTTATTATCCCAACGAACGAAGTTCGGTAGGGATATAGTGAAGCCCTCCGTCCGTCCGTCAGTCCGTCCGTCCATCCGTCTGTCCGTCCGGAGGATAACTCAAATATTAGTTGATGGATTTTCTTCATATTTGGTAGAAAGATGTATATTGATGAATAGTTTTACGCCGCCGCTTCAAAAATGACGGGACTTTTTCGCAAAAATCATAAATTTTTCATTCTAAACCAAAGTAATTAATATAATTGTTTGAAATTTTGGTAGTATATTCGCAACATCTATTTATTTCCCATATATTCTGTGTTTTTCATCCTGACCCCCAGGGGCCGTGTATGGGGGGTCAGGAAAACAGAAATTTTCGCTAATTTTTAGATCTTTCTGAAGTATAGCTTTATTATACTCAAATGAAAGGCAATTAAGAGTAGATTGCAAATATTGTATCTTTTTTCTGATTTGAGCCTCGTAAAATTCAAAATGGCCGTCTAATGTACGATTTCGCAACAATTTTTCGATCCCTTCGAAGTATGGCTATATAATACTCAAATTGAAGGAATTTTGGAGTAGATCACAATTATGGTAATATTTTTCAGATTTGTACCTCAGAAAATTCAAAATGGATTTTTTCAAGATGGCCGTCGCTTTAAAAATGGCGGGACTTTTTCGCAAAAATCATAAATTTTTCATTCTAAACCAAAGTAATTAATATTATTGTTTGAAATTTTGGTAGTATATTCGCAACATCTATCTATTCCACATATATTCAGTGTTTTTCATCCTGACCCCCAGGGGCTGTGTATGGGGGGTCAGGAAAACAGAAATCTTCGCTAATTTTTAGATCTTTCTGAAGTATAGCTTTATTATACTCAAATGAAAGGCAATTAAGAGTAGATTGCAAATATTGTATCGTTTTTCTGATTCGAGCCACGTAAAATTCAAAATGGCCGTCTAATGTATGATTTCGCAATAATTTTTCGATCCCTTCAACGTATGGCTATATAATACTCAAATTGAAGGAATTTTGGAGTAGATCACAATTATGGTATTATTTTTCAGATTTGTACCTCAGAAAATTCAAAATGGCTGCTTTGCAGGAATTCGCAATTCTAAAATCTAAATTGTTCAATTTTAACCAAAGTAATGAGTATAATTGATTGGAATTCGGTATTTGATATTTTGTTCGTTGGGATTTGCTACTCCGCGGAGTTGCCATCATCTAGTTTACACATGAAACATGAAATTCTTGAACATGATTAAAATTGAAAAATAAATTGAATTATTTTTAGATGCTATCAAAGTCGACCCCTCTCTATCAAGTAACAGCAAATCTAAGACAGATGAGCTTGTTGTTCCTGTATGCCTGACAGGTGATTCCTCTAGGATTGGTGGGATGATAAGTGCAATAAACAGTGTGCAGGCCAATACCAAACACCATGTTAAGTTCTATCTAGTCACGGATGAAAAGAATGTGGCACATTTAAAGTAAGTTAGCAATCAAATTCAACATAACTCCTCCAAAAACTTTTAAGATAAATGTAAAAGAACATTTTTTAACTTTCATCCTCTTGATATATCCTAGGATAAGTTAACAACTGCCTCTTTTTAGTTCCATAGATTGCAATGTATTCTTTGCATATAGATTTCATGAATTAGGCTTGCAAATCATGTGAAATGGTTCAGTCTGCTAAAATTCAAAGACCTACATTTTTTATTTTTCATAATAAAAGCCCATGGGCTTATTTTGAAAGTACTTTCAATAGCAGGCCCACTTGGTGATATATTTAGTGATTGATAGGTCAACATTGCTATTTTGTGCACTTTTTTATGTCCCCACCACATAGTGTGGGGCCATATTGTCGGCCTAGGCGCGTCCGTCTGTCTGTCTGTCTGTCTGTCCGTCCATACGTCCGGCAGTTTTCTCCAAAACCGCTACAGATATCACCTTCAAATTTTCAGGGATAACTTACGAGTGCATACAGATGTGGATGTAAAAAATTTAACTCAACACCTACTTCCTGTCGGCCATTTTGAAGCCAAATGCTAAAATCCTTGTCTGCAAACTTTAATAAGAAAAACGTCTTCACAGTTGCTTTTAAAACTTTTATATCTTGTTCAGCTCACTTCATTCTATATCTGATTAGGTTTTGGACCTGTTAGCTCAGTCATGTAAGCCATTTTGAATGTCCTGAGAAAAGTTAGCACACGATAATATTTGGTATCATATTCAATGGTGTTTTTGAGTTTTCATACTTTAACTATTTTGTAGCTTTATATATAATTTCAGGTGTACTTTGTTTATCTTATTGTTTACAGTAGATATATGTGATAATTTTGTAAAAGGAAATCAGCAAAAACTCATCATCACTTTTTTATTGTCGGCCATTTTGGATTTTTCCGTCCTAAAATCTTGTCTGTAGAGTCTTGTCTATGCTTTTTCAGGTGAACCGTTTGGTAGATCAATTTCAAATTTTCAGGGATGATTCTTAGTATGTAAATCTAGATCTGATTAGTTTTTTGGCATTCTGGGTAAATGTCAAGGCAGCCATTTTGGATTTTCCGTCCTAAAATCTTGTCTGTAAAGTCTTGTCTACGCATTTCTAGGTGAACCGTTAGGTTGATTAATTTCAAATTTTCAGGGATGATTCTTAGTATGAAAATCTAAATCTGATTAGTTTTATGGCATTCTGGATAAATGTCAAGGCAGCCATTTTGGATTTTCCGTCTTAAAATCTTGCCTGTAAAGTCTTGTCTACGCGTTTTTAGGTAAACTGTTTGGTAGATCAATTTCGAATTTTCAGGAATGATTCTTAGTATGAAAATCTAAATTTGATTGGTTTTTTGGCATTCTGCGTAAATGTCAAGGTAGCCATTTTGGATTTTCCATCCTAAAATCTTGTCTGTAAAGTCTTGTCTACGCGTTTTCAGGTGAACCGTTTGGTAGATCAATTTCAACTTTTCAGGGGTGATTCTTACAATGAAAATCGCGAACTGATTAGTTTTTTGACATTTCGGGTAAATGTCAAGGCAGCCATTTTGGATTTTCCATCCTAAAATCTTGTCTGTATAGTCTTGTTTACATGTTTTCTGGTTAACTGTTTGACGGATCAATTTCAAATTTTCAGGGGTGGTTCTTAGTATGGAATTCTAGGCAGCCATGTTGGATTTTCTGTCCTCAAATTGTGTCTGTAAAGTCTTGTCTACTCATTTTCAGGATAACCATTTGTCGGGATCACCCATTGGTGGGGACATTTTGTACACATTTGTGTTCTTGTATAACATTGTTGTTTCAAAGTATTGAGGGATTTCAAATGTACTCTGTGCCGCCTATGTCATTTAATTAATTTATTGTTATGAAAGAAAACAGCTACATTGTGATGTATTGTATCTAATTTAAAGTACTTTGTTATGTTTCAGGAATTATATAGAAAAAACTTCTCTCAGGAATATAGATTACACAATCAAAGTGTTTAATGAGGATCTTGTAAAGAATAAAGTTCTTGTCAGAGGTGGAAGACAAGAACTAGCTAGTCCTGTAAGTAGTGCTCTCTTCATATCATACTCCCACAAGAACTAGCTAGTCCTGTAAGTAGTGCTCTCTTCATATCATACTCCCACAAGAACTAGCTAGTCCTGTAAGTAGTGCTCTCTTCATATCATACTCCCACAAGAACTAGCTAGTCCTGTAAGTAGTGCTCTCTTCATATCATACTCCCACAAGAACTAGCTAGTCCTGTAAGTAGTGCTCTCTTCATATCATACTCCCACAAGAACTAGCTAGTCCTGTAAGTAGTGCTCTCTTCATATCATACTCCCACAAGAACTAGCTAGTCCTGTAAGTAGTGCTCTCTTCATATCATACTCCCACAATGCTGGACTCCCACACTTTTTGAATTGTTTATTAACCTCTGGCCAATTGGTGTAAGCAATAATCTCCCAAGCGTTAAAGCAAGTGGGTGCAGCACTCACCTGAATATCCTTTGCATCCACTTGGAAATGAGAGAAATCACAAAAATGGGCATATTTTGACCAATTTTAGTGTGAACTGTGAAAATAAGAACTTTGCACCCACTTCAGAAAAAATCCTGGGGATACCACTGATAAGGATGATGCTGCTCTTATTGGTTTAAACTGTAAAATGTTTTCTACATTTCTGAAATGTTGTACTTGTTTCAGTCAAACTATGTGTTAGGTTCTACATTTCTGAAATGTTGTATTTGTTTCAGTTGAACTATGCCAGGTTCTACATTTCTGAAATGTTGTATTTGTTTCAGTTGAACTATGCCAGGTTCAACATTTCTGAAATGTTGTATTTGTTTCAGTTGAACTACTAGTATGCTAGGTTCTACATTTCTGAAATGTTGTATTTTTGTCAGTTGCAAAATTTCAGGTTCTACATTTCTGAAATGTTGTACTTGTTTCAGCCAAACTATGCCAGGTTCTACATATCTGAAATGTTGTATTTGTTTCAGTTGAACTATGCCAGGTTTTACATTTCTGAAATGTTGTATTTGTTTCAGTTGAACTATGCCAGGTTCTACATTTCTGAAATGTTGTATTTGTTTCAGTTGAACTATGCCAGGTTCAACATTTCTGAAATGTTGTATTTGTTTCAGTTGAACTACTAGTATGCTAGGTTCTACATTTCTGAAATGTTGTATTTTTGTCAGTTGCATAATTTCAGGTTCTACATTTCTGAAATGTTGTACTTGTTTCAGCCAAACTATGCCAGGTTCTACATATCTGAAATGTTGTACTTGTTTCAGCCAAACTATGCTAGGTTCTACATATCTGAAATGTTGTAATTGTTTCAGTTGAACTATGCCATATTCTACAATTCTGAAATGTTGTATTTGTTTTTAGTTGAACTATGCCATATTCTACATTTTTGAAATGTTATATTTGTTTCAGTTGAACTATGCCAGGTTCTACATAACTGAAATGTTGTATTTGTTTCAGTTGAACTATGCCATATTCTACATTTCTGAAATGTTGTATTTGTTTCAGTTGAACTATGCCAGGTTCTACATTTCTAAAATGTTGTATTTGTTTCAGTTGAACTATGCCAGGTTCTACATAACTGAAATGTTGTATTTGTTTGAGTTGAACTATGCCAGGTTCTACATTTCTGAAATGTTGTATTTGTTTCAGTCAAACAATGCCAGGTTCTACATTTCTGAAATGTTGTATTTGTTTCAGTTGAACTATGTCAGATTCTACATTTCTGAAATGTTGTATTTGTTTCAGTTGAACTATGCCAGGTTCTACAATTCTGAAATGTTGTATTTGTTTCGGTTTAACTATGCCAGGTTCTACAATTCTGAAATGTTGTATTTGTTTCAGTTTAACTATGCCAGGTTCTACAATTCTGAAATGTTGTATTTGTTTCAGTTTAACTATGCCAGGTTCTACAATTCTGAAATGTTGTATTTGTTTCAGTTTAACTATGCCAGGTTCTACATTTCTGAAATGTTGTATTTGTTTCAGTCAAACAATGCCAGGTTCTACATTTCTGAAATGTTGTATTTGTTTCAGTTGAACTATGTCAGGTTCTACATTTCTGAAATGTTGTATTTGTTTCAGTTGAACTATGCCAGGTTCTACATTTCTGAAATGTTGTATTTGTTTCAGTTGAACTATGCCAGGTTCTACAATTCTGAAATGTTGTATTTGTTTCAGTTGAACTATGCCAGGTTCTACAATTCTGAAATGTTGTATTTGTTTCAGTTTAACTATGCCAGGTTCTACAATTCTGAAATGTTGTATTTGTTTCAGTTTAACTATGCCAGGTTCTACAATTCTGAAATGTTGTATTTGTTTCAGTTGAACTATGCCAGGTTCTACAATTCTGAAATGTTGTATTTGTTTGAGTTGAACTATGCCATATTCTACATACCTGAAATGTTGTATTTGTTTCAGTTGAACTATGCCAGGTTCTACAATTCTGAAATGTTGTATTTGTTTCAGTTGAACTATGCCAGGTTCTACAATTCTGAAATGTTGTATTTGTTTCAGTTTAACTATGCCATATTCTACATTTCTGAAATGTTGTATTTGTTTCAGTTGAACTATGCCATATTCTACATATCTGAAATGTTGTATTTGTTTCAGTTGAACTATGCCATATTCTACATATCTGAAATGTTGTATTTGTTTCAGTTGAACTATGCCATATTCTACATATCTGAAATGTTGTATTTGTTTCAGTTTAACTATGTCAGGTTCTACAATACTGAAATGTTGTATTTGTTTCAGTTGAACTATGCCATATTCTACATATCTGAAATGTTGTATTTGTTTCAGTTGAACTATGCCATATTCTACATATCTGAAATGTTGTATTTGTTTCAGTTTAACTATGTCAGGTTCTACATTTCTGAAATGTTGTATTTGTTTCAGTTGAACTATGCCAGGTTCTACAATTCTGAAATGTTGTATTTGTTTCAGTTTAACTATGCCAGGTTCTACAATTCTGAAATGTTGTATTTGTTTCAGTTTAACTATGCCAGGTTCTACAATTCTGAAATGTTGTATTTGTTTCAGTTGAACTATGCCAGGTTCTACAATTCTGAAATGTTGTATTTGTTTCAGTTTAACTATGCCAGGTTCTACAATTCTGAAATGTTGTATTTGTTTCAGTTGAACTATGCCAGGTTCTACAATTCTGAAATGTTGTATTTGTTTCAGTTGAACTATGCCAGGTTCTACAATTCTGAAATGTTGTATTTGTTTCAGTTGAACTATGCCAGGTTCTACAATTCTGAAATGTTGTATTTGTTTCAGTTTAACTATGCCAGGTTTTACAATTCTGAAATGTTGTATTTGTTTCAGTTGAACTATGCCAGGTTCTACAATTCTGAAATGTTGTATTTGTTTCAGTTGAACTATGCCAGGTTCTACAATTCTGAAATGTTGTATTTGTTTCAGTTGAACTATGCCAGGTTCTACAATTCTGAAATGTTGTATTTGTTTCAGTTGAACTATGCCATATTCTACATTTCTGAAATGTTGTAATTGTTTCAGTTGAACTATGCCATATTCTACATTTCTGAAATGTTGTAATTGTTTCAGTTGAACTATGCCATATTCTACATTTCTGAAATGTTGTAATTGTTTCAGTTGAACTATGCCATATTCTACATTATTTTCTGAAATGTTGTAATTGTTTCAGTTGAACTATGCCATATTCTACATTATTTTCTGAAATTTTGTAATTGTTTCAGTTGAACTATGCCAGGTTCTACATTTCTGAAATGTTCCCTGAACTCAGTGGAAGGCTGATACACCTGGATGATGATACCATTGTACAAGGTAACACATTGCTTACATTTCATTTTCACGTTACCACCAGGAAGTGCTGATATTGGTCAAGTTACCTTTTTGTGATTGGTGTTCTGTGATTGGTGGTAAAATTATTATACTTTTGTAATCATTTGTCATGTAAATGCTTTCTTATTGGTTTTTAAATTGATAAAATTCAGCAATTTAATTTTTAATGTTTGTGCCACATAAACTGGTGGTTTTAGATAGCATCTCTTTAAGCCTGGCACAAGGTACTAGCCTTTGTTATTTAATTAAATGGTACATTTATACAGAGCCAGGATATTTTATGTGAAAATTAAGAAGTTGTATCCACATTAGTACAAATGATGCACTGATCAAAATGATAAAGTACACTTAATGATAGAATGTTCTATTTTCAACAACAATATACAATTCTAAATACATGTAGTTTCTACGATACTTCTGTGATATAGATACTTCTTGTTTCTTCTTCTTAAAACACTTGTGAAAATTGTCCTGTTAAAATCTTTTTCTTATTTGTGACTCATTTATCTTAAAAAAAAATATATATCCCATGTTATTTTCCCATAGAGCAAAAAGAGTCTCTTTGCTAAAATGGGTACATTTTGTGCTAATAGTACAACATTGATGTTTATTTTCTACAGTTGAACTTGTAATTGGATATGTCTTTCAGGTGACATTGCAGAGCTGTACAAGACTCATATAGAAGCAAATCATGTGATGGCTGTCTCTGATGACTGCAGTTCTGTCTCCAAAAGATTCACTTTCATTCAAGTAATTCACTTTAAGCTTTTAAAGTCCCCATGTAAAGTTTGAAAATATGTCTCATTATTCATCTACTATTTGTCATGACTTTAAAGTTATTCTAGATCTCTGATGTTGAAATGTTGCCTTATTGCTATAGCGAACTACATATATAACTAGATTGGAGAAATTGAACAAGTTCAATTCAAGACTCCAGATTTAGATTGTTTATTTCAAAACCATTTTGAGATCTGATATTAATGAAAGGGTTGAGATTGTTACAATTTGGTGGCAGCGGTGGGATTTTTTTGAGATTTCAAAAGCCCATAACTTCTAAACCGAAAGTCGGATCTCAATTTTGTTTTCAGTTTCGCAATCCTTTGTTCTATTAAAACCTTAATTTGAACTTTGATATTAATGAGAAATGAGAAAATTAACGGTCAGGTAGACATGCCATCAGGGTACCATCATATCATTTTTTTGAAATTTCAAAATGTGGTAACTCCTAAACCGGAAATCGGATCACAATTTGGTTTTCAGATTTGGAATCCTGAGATAATTTCCTGTTAAATTGAGACTAATCTCAATAGATTTGGAACAATTTAAATTTCACCATTTTTTTGGAGTCAAATTTCTCAAAATTGGTAAAATTTTCATCGAGACATAGAGTGAGTGAAATGTTTGAAATACTTAGAAGGAGCTATAATTTAATTCATCGCCAGAAATAATGATAGATTAAAAAGAAAATTGAAAATTTGTGAAATTAGAAAAATTGACCTTAATTTTAACCTTTGACCTAGATAAAAATTTGACCTAATTTCCCAGAAACTAGGTCACATACCCTAACTGACCATGTAATTAGATTTACTCTAAGTCTTCTAGTTACTGAGAAATCGTGCTAATAAGAATAAGAATAATAACTAGATTTTGGAAATTGAACGAGTTCAATTTCAGACTCCAGATCTAGACTTTTTTTAGCCGAGTCATTCAGAATAAGCCGAGTCATCCAAAATAAGCTGAGTCATCCAGAAAAAGATGGATGGATAAAATAGGAAGGTAGGATAGGATAGAATAGGAAGGAACGATAGGATAGAATAAGAAAGAAGGATAGGATAGAACAGAATAGGAAGAAAGGATATGATAGGAGAGGATAGGATAGGAAGGAAAGTAAGGAAATGATACGAAGGAAGGATAGATAGGAAGGATAGGATAGGATAGGGTAAGATCAGATAGGAAGGATGGATGAATTTTTCAATATTTTCTTCTCTACTCTTGACTTTCTATCAGGATACAATCAGATCGATTTTCCGAAATTTCAAAACGCCATAACTTCCGAACCAGGAGTCGAATCACAATTTGATTTAAAGATTCGGATTCCTGACAAAATTCTACCCCTAATTCATAACTCATACGTTAAATTTGGCGAATTTTTATTTTGACCTACTTTTCCGACACGCCATTACTTCGGAACCGGAAGTCGGATCGAAATTTGGTTTATAGATTCGAATTCCTGAGAAAATTCTATACTTAATTCATTACTCAAACGTTAAATTTGGAGAATTTTTTATTTTAACCTACTTTTCGGACACCATATCTCAAAAGTGGGGCAAAATACTTTCTGACGGCAAAAGGCTAACACTATTAGCACACTCTTGGCTACATGTATACAAATTTTCGAAAAATATAATTAATCTGTAGTGTCAGAATCGCAAAATAAGGAAAAACCTTGAATTTGACCTAGATTTTGACCTAGGGATTTTGGTGTCCAAATTTTGAAGTTAAGTAGCCTTCGAGGTCCCCTTCTTTCATAGGCTTTCATTATTTTAAGCTGTAATTAGTCTATATCTTGTATTTTACACCTCAAAAAAATCTTTTTTCCCATTGACATAACATGGGGCACCAAATTTAGCAATTTTTGAGCTTTCAAAATGTCATAACTTCCGAACCAGAAGTCGGATTGAAATTTGGTTTGCAGATTCGGATTCCTGAGAAAATTCTATACTTCATTCATAACTCAAACGTCATATTTGGAGAATTTTTTATTTTGACCTACTTTTCGGACACCATATCTCAAAAGTGGGGCAAAATACTTTCTGACGGCAAAAGGCTCACACTATTAGCACACTCTTGGCTATATGTATACAAAATTTCGAAGATTATAATTAATCTGTAGTGTCAGAATTGCAAAAGTAAGGAAAAACTTTGAATTTGACCTAGATTTTGACCTAGGCATTTTGGTGTCCAAATTTTAAAGCTAGATGGCTTTTGAGGTCCCATTCTTTTAAAAGCTTTCATTATATTAAGCTGAACTCAGTCTATATTTCGTATTTTTCACTTCAATAAAATCTTTTTTCCCATTGACTTAAGATGGGCTCCAAATTTAGTGATTTTTGAGCTTTCAAAACGCCATAACTTCAGAACCGGAAGTCTGATCCAAATTTTGTTTTCAGATTCGGAATCCTGAGAAAATTTCCTATAAGACTAATATCCTCGACATTTGATGCGGAGAACTTTTTTTTGGACCTCGTTTTCGGACACTGATATCTCGAAATCGGTTTGAGATATCTAAAAACAAAATCGACTTTAGGTTTCCTACTTTTTTATAAGGAACACAATGAAAAAAACCAGGATCGAAAATATTGAAGGACGACCGAGAAAATCGGAAAAAGTGACAAAGTACTGGATTTGACCTAGTTCTTGACCTTTGACCTAGATAAAAATTTGACCCAATTTCCGGAGAACTAGATACTGAACCTAAATTGACCAAATGATTGACTTTACTGAAGACCTTATGGTTATTGAGAAAACTGGGTTAGAATAATAAGAAGAATAAAAAAAAGAATAATAACTAGATTTTGGAAATTGAACGAGTTCAATTTCAGACTCCAGATCTAGACTTTTTTTAGCCGAGTCATCCAGAATAAGCCGAGTCATCCAAAATAACAAGAAAAAGATGGATGGATAAAATAGGAAGGTAGGATAGGATAGAATAGGAAGGAACGATAGGATAGAATAAGAAAGAAGGATAGGATAGAACAGAATAGGAAGAAAGGATATGATAGGAGAGGATAGGATAGGAAGGATAGGAAGGAAATGATACGAAGGAAGGATAGATAGGAAGGATAGGATAGGATAGGGTAAGATCAGATAGGAAGGATGGATGAATTTTTCAATATTTTCTTCGCTACTCTTGACTTTCTATCAGGATACCATCAGATCGATTTTCCGAAATTTCAAAACGCCATAACTTCCGAACCAGGAGTCGAATCGAAATTTGATTTAACGATTCGGATTCCTGACAAAATTCTACCCCTAATTCATAACTCATACGTTAAATTTGGCGAATTTTTATTTTGACCTACTTTTCGGACACGCCATAACTTCGGAACCGGAAGTCAGATCGAAATTTGGTTTGTAGATGCGGATTCCTGAGAAAATTCTATACTTAATTCATAACTCAAACGTTAAATTTGGAGAATTTTTTATTTTAACCTACTTTTCGGACACCATATCTCAAAAGTGGGGCATAATACTTTCTGACGGCAAAGGCTAACACTATAAGCACACTCTTGGCTACATGTATACAAAATTTCGAAGAATATAATTAATCTGTAGTGTCAGAATCGCAAAAATAAGGAAAAACCTTGAATTTGACCTAGATTTTGACCTAGGGATTTTGGTGTCCAAATTTTGAAGTTAAGTAGCCTTCGAGGTCCCCTTCTTTCATAGGCTTACATTATTTTAAGCTGTAATTAGTCTATATCTTGTATTTTACACTTCAAAAATATCTTTTTTCCCATTGACATAACATGGGGCACCAAATTTAGCAATTTTTGAACTTTCAAAATGTCATAACTTCCGAACCAGAAGTCGGATTGAAATTTAGTTTGCAGATTCGGATTCCTGAGAAAATTCTATACTTAATTCATAACTCAAACGTCATATTTGGAGAATTTTTTATTTTGACCTACTTTTCGGACACCATATCTCAAAAGTGGGGCAAAATACTTTGTGACGGCAAAAGGCTAACACTATTAGCATATCCTTGGCTACATGTATACAAAATTTCGAAGAATATAATTAATCTGTAGTGTCAGAATCGCAAAAACAAGGAAAAACTTTGAATTTGACCTAGATTTTGACCTAGGCATTTTGGTGTCCAAATTTTAAAGCTAGATGGCTTTTGAGGTCCCATTCTTTTAAAAGCTTTCATTATATTTAGCTGAACTCAGTCTATATTTCTTATTTTTCACTTCAAAAAAATATTTTTTCCCATTGACTTAACATGGGCTCCAAATTTAGCGATTTTTGAGCTTTCAAAACGCCATAACTTCCGAACTAGAAGTCTGATTCAAATTTAGTTTTCAGATTCGGAATCCTGAGATAATTTCCTATAAGACTAATATCCTGGACATTTGATTCGGAGAACTTTTTTTTGGACCTCGTTTTCGGACACTGATATCTCGAAATCGGTTTGAGATATCAAAAAACTAAATCGACCCTAGGTTTTCTACTTTTTTATAAGGAACACAATGAAAAAAACCCGGATTGAAAATATTGAAGGACGACCGAGAAAATCGAAAAAAGTGACAAAGTACTGGATTTGACCTAGTTCTTGACCTTTGACCTAGATAAAAATTTGACCCAATTTCCGAGGAACTAGATTCTAGACCTAAATTGACCAAATGACTGACTTTACTGAAAACCTTATGGTTATTGAGAAAACTGGTTTAGAAAAATAATAATAAGAATAAGAATAATAAGAAGAAAACTGACGAAAACAATAGACTCCAGATTTCATCTGGAGTCTAATAATAAGAAAACTGACGAAAACAATAGACTCCAGATTTCATCTGGAGTCTAATAATAAGAATACAGGCAAAAGCAATAGACTCCAGATTTTCAATCTGGAGTCTAATAAACAAAATTAATGATATATCAGTGGTCTTGTATTTATCATGTAAAAAAGCTGATTTTTTACAAAATTCTGAAGACAGATTCCAAAATCTGTTCTGTTCCATTTCGTGCCATTTTAAGAGAGGAGAGGGCTTTTTAACTGATATGAAACCACCTATGTAGGTCTTACTTGTTGACAGTTGAAGATATAGAAGTACGGTATGTTTTTGCCTTTCAGAATACTTATGCAAACTACATCAATTTTAACAATGCTCAAATCAAGAAGTTACACATGAGTCCAATCGCCTGTGCCTTCAACACAGGGGTCTATGTGGCTGACCTAACACGATGGAAGAAACAAAATATAACTGCTAAAATAGAGTACTGGATGAAATTAAATACCGAGTAAGTATACACCTTGTAATAGTCTTGCTCCAAGCTTTTTTGACCCCCCCCACCCTCCACACATCTCTCAACAAGTTTCTGCGACCCCAGATTTGCACATTACATACAATCCAACCTATTCCATGACATATGCTTACTCCCCTTATTTGGAGTAATTGGCAAGTCTAAAAAACACCCCTTTATAAAAAAGTGGACTGGCCCAAGTGGCCAATATCGATCCCCAACTCATTATGTATTCATATTTAATTCTTGCCACGTAGGAGTAATTGGAAAATTTTTCAAATCAATATATATCGTACGATCTATTCACTCAACAAATTTCTGTTACTTATAAGTCAGAATTTGTTTTTCGAATAGAGAGTATCATAGTCATAACGTTAGTCTAGTATGGCAGAACAGGGCTGAAATTCAGGGTGAAATTACTTCTGAATTGAACTTGAACGGTCCCTCGACCTCGTCAACTTTGACCGGGAATGAAGTGATAAACGACGTCTCTTTGGCTACCACATCCGTCACAGATTATGTCCAATCCTTAGTGGAAGAGGCGGTGACTAGGAAAATGGCCACCTTTGAAAACAGGCCACCAACGAGACCTCTTTCTGACCGTAGAAGCCCGTCTTCAAGCTATTTACACAACTCGGAATACTCGCTTCCGAGAGAGCAGTCCCCCCGGAGCAGTAAGAAGGCCGTAGAGACGGGAAAACGAGGTAACGAGTTGCACCGAAATGACCCCAAATTTCGTGACTACAACTATTCCGCCACACTACACGTGGACGTAAGTAGGTCAACTTTTCGAAATCGTTCAAGATCTCCCGTTTCTCAACGTAGAAGCCCTTCTAGATTGTCTCACCACTCCTACTCTCACACTAATAGACCCTCTGATAGTTCGCCGAGTAGGATTTCCGGGACTTCGCGTCAGGGAACTCAGAATTCACGATCCATTATCAACAATTTTAGTTCCAAAATTTCACAATCTCAAAATTCAGATTCTAAACCTCGTAATTTGGATTCTGATGACAACGAGCCGTCTAAATCTAAGTCCTCTGAAGAAGAAGCGGTCTTGTTAGTTCGTTCCTTATGGGATTCAACCATATCAGCCTTAGAAATTGACCAAGTCAACAGTTCCACTAATTCTAAGAATCTTTGACTAGGGTAGCTCTCCAGAAAGTTGATGAATCTTCAGTCACTAAAGCTTCATTACCTTGTCCCCCAGTGTTTCATCAGTTGGTGCAGAATATCAATAATCAGATCTCATCTGCCACTTCCGGTTTCAACACAAAGGGAAAACTCTTCAGAATCAAATCTTCAAATTATAGATTAGCCAAGGGAGATGATTCAGTCGTACGGCCCCTCAAACTCAATAATTCACTTGGAAACTTAGTCCCAAATGATAAAACCTTCAGTGATTTCTTCAAGAATGCTGATGCTAAAACTCAACTCTCCAATAAAAACTGGAAGGGTCTCGAAGAGAACTTGAGGGGTGTCCTTCAACCTTTGGTGTACTCAGAGTGGTATATAGGTTCTGTTTCAAAGTTAGTTACCCAACTCACAGCACACTTATCCAACAACACGGATCCGCTAGTTACCCAGTTGTTAGATTCCATGGGTGATTTACTCCTTAGGGGTTCGACAGCCTCTGTTACTGCTACTGAAGGTATTCTCAAGACTCTCACCAACTCAGCACTACTTCAACGTGATCTGATTCAAGAACAAGTACCAACACGCTTCCGCGAATCTATGAGGGTACTACCAGTTGAGCATACATCTACCACTTTGTATCCAGAGTCACAAATTAAAGATTTGGTTGACTCAGCCTCCTCAAATCTGACAAACCAAGCACTAGTTACCTTGGCCCAGTCCAGTTCTAGATCTAGTAAAGACAAAGACAGGTCCCAACGCCAATCCAGGTCTGACTGCAGGAAGAAATCTTCTAACAAAGATTGGTCCAAATCACAAGACAAATCCAAGTCAGATTTTCGTGATTCCAAGAAGAAATACGACAATAAAGGTGGTAAGCACTTCAACAAAGACAACAGATTCTCCAAGAAGTGACCATTCAATGATCCCAATCTTCACAATTCCTCCATTTCCAGGACTTGTAGGGGGAAGATTGATGTTATTCCTTCCGAATTGGAAGCTGTCAACGGAAGATCCGTTTATACTGAAGATGATCCAGGTAGGATACATCCCACAGATGAATTCAACTGTGACACTATGCACCGAACCAAACCAGTTCGAGTCTTCAACATTGAGCAAAGCAGCTCGTTTCAGCAGAGTGGTAGAGGACCTTCTGCAAAAGAATGCTGTAGAAGAAGTTCTAAACAGACATTCCCCAGGGTTTTACAGCAATCTATTCTTGGTCAAGAAGAAGAATGGAGAAGACAGACCCGTCATCAATTTGAGAACTTTAAATCAAGTCTTAATAGTTCCCAAGTTCAAAATGGAAACAGTACAGCAGTACATGACCTCCTTCCAACAAGGCGAATGGGCAGTATCCTTGGACCTTCGGGATGCTTATCTTCATATAATGATGAAAGAGAACTTCCGGAAGTATCTCCGTTTTGTCGTCAATGGGAAAATTCTGCAATTTCGAGTACTGCCTTTCGGTCTGGCAACAGCACAGATGATATTCACCAAGATCCTGGAACCCCTAGCCTCGTTCTTCCACAAGCTCGGGATAAAACTCCACCGGTATTTAGACGATTGGTTAATCCGAGGAGCATCGCCACAGGAAGTCTCAGATCACCTACGGATTGTGATGACGGTGATGGAAAACCTGGGCTTCATCATCAATCACAAGAAATCGCAGATCTTCGACTATGTAGGTGTACGGTGGGACCTTCATTTAGGGATGTCCTATCCCCCAGGACAGAATAGACAAAATTCTACACCTAACAGACTGGTTCCTCACAGAAAGTCGAGCAACAGCCAAGCAGTGGATGTCTCTTCTGGGATTACTGGCATCAGCAGAGAAACAAGTCCCACTGGGGAGATTACACATGAGGTTCCTCCAACAATGCCTGTCTCAGAATTGGTCTCAACTCAGAGATCCATTGGACAAGATGATAACAGTAGATCGTACTGCAAGATTGGACCTGTTGTGGTGGAATCAAGGCCAGCATCTGGAGAAAGGGATGACTTTAGCTCCATTTTCACCAGAAGTGACAATATTCACAGATGCTTCAACAGCGATGTGGGGATCTCACATGGATCTGAACATATCGAAAGAGTGCTGTGGAAACTGGTCCCAATCAGAATCCAACAACCACATAAACTGGCTGGAACTAAAAGCCATACAGAAAGCCCTTCAACACTTTCAGACTCACCTCCAAGGAAAGATGGTGTTAATTAGTGCAGACAACACAACTGCGACAACCTACCTCAACAAACAAGGGGGAACACAGTTATCTCGACAGATACGGTTATGGGCCGATTTACATCAAGTCCGTCTTCGCGCAAGACATGTGCCAGGTCGACTGAATCGAAGAGCAGATCTGTTGAGCCGGGGAAACCAGATAGTTGCGACAGAATGGTCCTTACATCCAGCAGTTGTCAAACAGATGTTCAAGATATGGGGAACTCCAAATCTAGACATGATGGCGACATGCTACAACAACCAACTACCAGTGTATGTCTCACCAATATAAGATCAAGCAGCTTGGGCAACAGACGCTCTATCCCTAAGCTGGCAAAATCTTCATCTGTACATCTATCCCCCCACGCCAGTGATAGGATTAGTTCTACAAAAGATAAAGGATCACGACTGTTTAGCTCTAGCAATCCTTCCAAAATGGCAGAATCAGCCGTGGTTCCCAGAACTATTGGATCTTCTAGTGGACTATCCAAGGGAAATCCCCACATGGGAGAAACTTCTCAAAATGCCAAGAAGTCAGATCTTCCATCAAAATCCAGAACTTTTCCATCTTCACGCTTGCAAACTCTCACGAAATCTCTCACTCAGAAGGGTTTTTCAACACAAGTGTCAAAAAGAATCGCATCAGATGCTAGAAGACCTTCCACCAACAGAGTCTATGATGCCAAATGGAAGAAGTTCTCTATTTGGTGTTCTGAGAGGAATCTGGATCCCTGCACAGTCTCTGTTCCAGAAATAGCTGACTTCTTACTTTATCTTCATTCAGTAAAGAAGTTAACAGTGAGTACCATTGAAGGTTATAGAACTGTCATCAATCAAGTCCTTCAACAATCAAGTGGCACATCACTCTCGTCGACTCAAGAAATCTCTGATCTGATCCATTCTTTCAAATTAGAAGATGTTCAGCCTAAAGATCTGATGCCTAAGTGGGACCTAGTGTTTGTACTACACGAGTTAACCAAACCTCCCTTCGAACCAATGTCAACAGCTGATCTCAAACACGTATCGTGGAAGACACTTTTCCTTCTACTGTTAGCTTCAGGGAAAAGACGTTCTGACATCCATGTCATAGACATTAGGCGTATACAATGGACTAGAAACAACTTGGAAGCGGTACTTTTCCCTTTTGTTGGTTTCCTGCCGAAATCATTGAATTGCGCAGAAGGACAGTCCAGATTCCAACCAATCACTATCAAGGCTCTAGCTAATTTCGTTGGAAATGAAACGCCAGATAAATTCTTATGTCCTGTGAGGGCCCTAAGATATTATCTTCAAGCCACAGTTCCTATCAGAGGACCCAGGAATAGACTTTTCATCCCCTTCAAGAAAGGATGCAGTTCTGATGTACACCCTAACACTCTCTCTAGTTGGGTGAAACAACTGTTGAACTATGTCTACAAGAATGCCTCAGAAGAAAGCAAGTTACAAGGGAAGATACGACCACACGAGACAAGAGCCATATCTTCCTCACTAGCTCTACAAGCCAATGCCTCATTAACAGCACTCTTCAAGACCTGTTCATGGGCATCCCACAACACCTTCACAAGTTGGCTTTGTATAAAAAACCTCCTACCCACGTACCCTCGTACCCACGTACGTGGGTCCTGACCCAGTCTTTAAAGAGTTAAAATTTTTAAATGTTTAAAACATTATTCAATCTCAGTTTATCCTGAATTATAGATGAATTTATGCATCCATATGCCTTTGTTTATAGGTCTGACATCTCTCTAGTAAAATAAAATAAAGCCGGAATTGCATAAATGTTCATTATTTTTGAGCTATTTGATTTATGTTTTTGATATGTCGAAATGTTTTTTGTTGATCGGGCAGTCTTACCTGTATAACACATCAGTGCTGATTAGCAATCTCCTAGCCTTCATTCAGTGCAATCCGTGCCTCCTGTTACCTCATGCAGATTGTAAATGTCCCGGGAAGTTTACCCTTGTCCAAAAGTTGACATCTTTTTAAAAATATATTTCTTAGAGTTTCCAACCAATTAAATTCACCACATTTTATTAGATGTTTATTTCAAATGTTATTAGAATTCATTCTTACGAATATTATACGTTATTAACGTATGTTAGTCAAAGATTTGGTGTCGTTGTTGTCCATTGTATTCACGTTTTACGCGCAAAAAGCTAGAAACTACAAAGCTGAACTTTTATCATTTAAACCAGTTTTACATCAAATCATTGTCAAAATAAAACTCTACTCTTCATATTACCTAATTATGGATCAAACGGCCATGAATAATGTCGAAGTTTACAAAACCAAACTTACACTCCCCTGCATAAGTTTGGCAACTCTAACTTTTAATTCCATCTAAATGATTCACTGAACTAGTGCGCACAATTATCTTTAAATTGTGCCAAAAAGCGATTAAAAACGAATATAGCGAATCCTTCTACTTTTCAAATATTTCGTTATTGGATTATTTTCGTCTATTAGGCTTCCATTGCGGTGCAAGTAATTTCGATTTGCATTCTCCTGACTGGAGTACAAATGTAAGAAATGAGAGGAAGTAAATGTTTCCAAACCCTTTTCTTGCAACTTTGCAACTTTTCAAGTGTGAACACAAGAAGGCAACAGTCGGACACGACGGACAGTGCTACTTGAACGGCAGATCTGCATGAGCTTTTACTGTTTAGGTAAGTTATGTAGAACTTAAAGGTACGTATCACACTACCCTGCCCCTGCCCCCAAACTGTAGGCTAGCCTTTATTTCTTCAAAGGGTGCTGCAAAGAGGTTACAAACTGTGGAGAACGTTTGTTTATTTCCATAGTTATGAAGGTACAGTATACTAGATTTTAGCTACATATATTCCAAGTGTTCTTCCCTTGCATTACATAGATTCATCGAGCAGTTTGCAAGGTGGCAGAAAAGCCCCATGGATAACATTTGCAAATTCACTTCAGTCTGTAATTAATTTTAAGAAATACATGCTACAGTATGGCGGAGGACAGTGTTTTATAATGTGTTACCTTGTTTACTACGCCAGCATCATTAGTTGATGCCATGGTCACATTTGCCCCGATTTTCAGCACCGGCGCCCGGCCAATGAGTATTTTGTTCAAAAGTGAATTCAATTCTGAACGAAATACTCAATCGGCCGGGCGCCGTAGTGAAAATCGAAATGTGACCAAGGCATAAGCAACCCTATCCATTCATAATAGATCTGATTTTCCTAAGACCTGTAGATAAGGAGTTTGTTGTCCGGGTGCCTGCTATAAAAAACAGCTACTCCATAGGACAGGCCTGTCAACTGTCCCGCAATTTGCGTATTTGTCACGCATTTGCTGAAGAATTTGAAGTCACGCCAGTTATTTTTGCGTGACAGAAAATGTCACGCAAATACGCATTTTACCTGGTAATTGTCAAGCAAAAATATTTCTGGAGGAAATTTTCTAAAAAAGATCGTCTACACAGCAAAAATACGAACGACGGGAAAAAAACGTACGCAATTCGTTCGGACTATTCACGCGAATTACGGATATGTCACGCATTCCGTTCGAAATTTTTCGTACCTTTTGTTAATCAAAATTACCTATTTTTTATCAAAATCGATTGATATAGGCATACTTGAATTGCAGTATTGTTTTCAATGTGAATATTCAGACTTCTTCCGGGAAGTTTAGGCGGCAAATAACTACACGTGCATGACGCGTGAGATTCAAACTCAATAAAACGTGGATCTGCGCATCGATCTTTGCAACGTTATTTAGATTGTCATAGATATAATTACACTTCATTTATACAAAATTCTATATACATTATGGTAAATTAAAAGGTATAGGACTATTAAAAGTATGACTGACAAAAATACTAAATATATGCGCTTGGTCGAATTTGCCGGCTTTATTTTATGACGAGACAGATGTCCGATCTAGAAATAAAGGCATATGGGTACATAAATTCATCCATAATTAAGCATACATTGAGATAGAATAATGTTTAAAAAATGTTAAAGATTTAACTCTTTAAAGACTGGGTCAGGACCCACGTACGTGGGTACGAGGGTACGTGGGTAGGAGGTTTTTTATACAAAGCCTCACAAGTTACTACCTCAGAGATGTGACAGTTATGGAGAAAGGCATGCACAAGCTGGGCCCGGTGGTACTAGCTGGCACTCTCTGCAACTTTTAGACGTAAGTGTTTCTTCACTCACTCTATATCTGCAGATGGATTCACGTGGGAAGCTTGGCCTCGACTGTTTTGCAGAAGGGTTCAACTCAACTAGCTTGTGACCTGGACCCTTGAAGAACTGCAACGGTTACCTCGTTTGGTTTAAACGGCCCTTTCTTGGTTAACCAGTCTCTATTCATAGGAGTTGGTCATTACCCTTAAATGGCTAAGACTGCTCACTCTGATAGGACATAACAGTCTCCAGTTGGACATGTAACAGCCTCCGTCTTGGATCCAACTAGCAGATGGGGGTAATGGTACATGTACTATTCTTTGGGTGACATCTCATTAGGATGGTAATATAGTTCTTTTGTAACGAGGTCCCCACCTCCTTAAAGTATGCGCCAAAGTTTAAAACTGCGCAGGCGCACCGCTCTCACTAAACTATATAAAGAGATTGCCCGGTACACGATTCAGAGGTAAGCCAGGAAGGCGAACGATCTTCGTCTCGTGATGATTTCCCATATAATCTTAACCAGGGAAGTTTCAACATTGAAATTGAAAATTACTATTAGATATACTTTGTAGATGTTATTTATGAAGCTATTTAGTGTTTGCATCAATCAAATGGCTCATTTTGAACATATAAAACGTATTTGTGTTTTGTTTCCCATGGAATTGTATTGTATGTAGTACACACATAAATAGTGTACATTATACTTGACTAGCCTGGTTTACATAATATTGAAGGGCATGCTGATTACATGCACACGAGTACATGAATGAAGGCCTAATATTGATATACGTAGCTTGCATACCTAAATAAAAAATAAACTCTTCTAATCCCCTAATGTAAACACGGCGGTATACGTAGCCCGATTTATCGGGGACTTTAACTTTTTATTCAGCATATGTCATGGAATAGGTTGGATTGTATGTAATTGAGAAATTTTACCAGTAAATTTTCTATTAATTACAATACAAACCTATTCCATGACCAGAGGCCCACCCAGCCTCCCCGCCTTTGGGAAAATGGAGGTTATTTATTTATTTTGTTAGCGTAGATCTATTAAATATGAATACATAATGAGTTGGGGATCGATATTGGCCACTTGGGCCAGTCCACTTTTTTATAAAGGGGTGTTTTTTAGACTTGCCAATTACTCCAAATAAGGGGAGTAAGCATATGTCATGGAATATGTTTGTATTGTAATTAATAGAAAATTTACTGGTAAAATTTCTCAATTACAACATCTGCCTACTCTGAAAGTGAAGTAATTGTTAAATCTAAAAAGATATTTCAGATATAACATTTGAAATCATTAGAAACATATTATTGGCATATTTAGATTGCGAGTAACATTTTACATTCTATTTTCTTTGCTGCCACTTTAGGTAACAAGGAGACTATTAAAGTAAACATGTTCTCTCATGTGATTGCAAAGTTCTTGTCATGATAAACTGAGAATTGGAAAGCTTTAATTTGGAGCTTTATTTTCTATATACATGCACGTGCACTGAGTTTGAAACCAAAGAGAAATGGTCAGTAACAGTTTGTTTTGCTTTACAGGCAAGAGATATATGGCAATGAGAAAGGAGGTGGAGGGTCTCAACCTCCCATGATGATTGCCCTCTACAAGAAGTACACACTCATGGATCCCATGTGGCATGTGAGGAATCTGGGTATGTATCTCCTTTGTTCTCTAGGAATGTTAGGTCATAGTGGTACATTTATTATCCCATCGAACGAAGTTAAAAATGGCGGCCATTTTAGTGCCGATTTTACAGTAATTTAGGTGCAATATGTAAAACTGTGATAGCATTATGTTTTAAATGTAAAAAAATTATATAGGACATTGATAAAGCTAGAAATGTAGAAATTAAAATAGCACATGGCAGCCATCTTGAAAAATGGCGACCTTTACTCGTTATTTTACGATTTTTGCTGTAACTCAAGAAGTATTGGAGCGATTTTGTTCATATTTGGTATGTGAATACTATAAGCATGGCTCACTGTCTAATGACACTTTTGGTAGGAGGAGGCCATTTTGAAAATTTGCCGCCATTTTGAAAAATGGTCGCCATTCTAACGTATTTTACTATAACTCGAAAAGTAGTGGAGCGATTTTGTTCATATTTGGTATGTGAATAATATAAGCATGGCACACTGTCTAATGACACTTTTGGTAGAAGGCGGCCATTTTGAAAAATGGCCACCATTTTAAAGTATTTTACTGTAACTCGAAAAGTAGTGGAGCGATTTTGTTCATATTTGCCATGTGAATACTATAAAAAAGCATATTACTTCTTCTGATGACAACTTTCTTATTTGTGTTATTTTATGATATTTGCTATATATTTCGTTTGTAAAAATGCCAGCTATTTCTGTTCGATGGGATTCCCTACGCTTTGGCGTTGCCATTGTTCTGGTTCGTTCATTCATTTGGCTGGTCAAATAGATTTCTGCACATACATACATCTGTCTTGTCTTTCCAGGCAATAACTCAAATACCGTTGGTCCAATATCATTTATATATTTTCAAAGATGGCAGCCATGACTGTTCAATGGATTTTCCTACACATTGGCATTGCTGTTATCTAGCTACATATGGGATTGGGGGTTTTGACAAGGTTACCCTAGTCAGTAGTAACAATGATGCCCATAAAACAATTCTTACACATTTGAAAACTGTGCCAAACTCAACATCTATCGAGATATATTATACACTTTGATGTAGATGTAAGATATATCTGAGCTAAATAACTTTAATTTGGAAACTTCATCAGCATTCTGAACTAACCCCTTAGTCAATAAGAGATATCATTGAGTTCTTAATATCATTGTGACCTAACAAATCATCTAATAACCAACCTTGACAGTTGGATTTTGAAAATGAAATATGACTTACGGTTATTGTTCCAAAAATAACATAGAACACTATTACCTTAAAGAAATCTTGGTCGACAGTACTTGAAGAGCACAACATTGAATAAATGACCAATAAATTAGATAATGACAGACATACCCAGGCCTGTCAACTGTCCCGCATTTTGCGTATTTGTCACGCATTTGCTGAAGAATTTGAAGTCACGCCAGTTATTTTTGCGTGACAGAAAATGTCAAGCAAATACGCATTTTACCTGGTAATTGTCAAGCAAAAATATTTCTGCAGAAAAATTTCTAAAAAAGATCGTCTACACAGCAAAAATACGAACGCCGGAAAAAAATGTACGCATTTCGTTCGGACTTTTCACGCGAATTACGTATATGTCACGCATTCCATTCGAAATTTTTCGTACCTACCCCCCCCCCCCCCCCCCCCCCCCCCCCCCCCCGAAAAATTTGAGGTGTTCAAAATTTGGCAAGATGTAATAAAATTTAAACCAAGGTGTTCAAAATTTGGATCAAGGTGTTCAGATTTCGACCAAGGTGTCCACATTTTGAGGGGAGGTGTTCAACATTTCCAAGTCACTCATGTTAGGTGTTCCCAAGTTGACAGGCCTGCATACCCAAGTAGGTCTAAAGAGATAGTGGGAAGGATACTTCTGAAAACAACTCAATCATTCTTCCTATTGATTAGTGTACCTTTGTTTCCCTGTCATTAAAAATGTTATTATTGTTTTTTTATTTTTGTTTTTTGCACTGCCTTTTATAATAACACAGTTTTAAATGGTTAAGTACTATTTTAATCCAATATGATTTTATAATGTGGCTTTCCATTAGGCATGGACAAAATAATTTTATGCAGATGAAACACTAATATATTGTTATCATAGTCATTTATCCTCATTAGTTCATTTCAGCTTCATCAACAAGCAAATTTGGAAGCACAAAAGACAACATTTGAGTCAGTAAACTATACAAACTATATGTAACCTCAGGAATATCCAAAGCGATTGTAATTTAATCCATATTGTACATAAATTCATAATATGTACCTGTACTGAGATGAAGATCACAATTCTTACCAAAAAATCCATGGGCCAAGTCTGTTATCATTTTACAGTCAACAAGTCGAAATTTCTTATTTCAGTCTGAAGAGTAACCCAAATAGCAATGTCAAGGTCAAATGTTAGTTCTTTGAATTCACAGAACATATGCTGTGATTTGCATTTGTTATTAAGCATTTAAGGTAATTTTCTGAATTTTTGAAGTAGCTTGAGAAAACATCTGGTCAATTATATTGGCTTTGAAAAATACAACGTGACATTGGTAAGACACTTAAGATCTAGATTAATACTCAATCATTTTCTCTGTGGAATTGACGTGTCTGTGCCTAATACCCTGCAGTTAATAAACAAGTTGCTGGGAATCTTAAATGAGAACAAGATAACCTTAAGATAATGAAGGTAGATGACCATTTGTTGTCAATGTTTTATTCTCTTAATAGCAACATGAGTTTGAATTTCAAAAAATATGATCCAACACACAAAGAAATATTGCTTGCCCCTTTCTTGACACATAAAGTTGTAAATCTAAGCACAAAATGTCCCCAAGACTTAATAAAACATATAGCTTGGATGTTCATTTATGTATGTGGATTATATTTCATGCCACAAACACTTTATAAATACCTGAAATTTGTAATAAAAGTACCCAAATATTGTTGATTCGAAATTCCCCATTTTTCCTGTATATTACAGTACATATTTCAATATGGCAAACATCAGCGACTCTGATTCCTGGGTTCTGGCTAATGGCTATATTGGCGAGAGGGTGTCATTTGAGGACAATTTAAAGAGCTGAAATGGTGCCCAAGTATACTAGTAAGAGCAGATTATATGGGGACAATAGACAAGTACTATGATTTAGACACGGAAAACAGTAATGATTTAGGTTTTTCGAAAAGTTATTAAAATAAGAAAATATGGATCTGGTTTTCGAGTGGTTTACCTTTATTTAGAATCGCTGATTTCCCTGGACAAATTCCGAGAAAAATTAATTCAGCATCGCGATCAGAGACTATCATCCATGTTGTATGTGTATTTCACTCTGAACTCTCACGAGTAAATATGGCATTTTGATTGGTTATTATTACTCATGTTGCCATGACGCGAGAGGCATTAGTGAACACTGAATATGTTAATGAACTGCCCTATATGGAACATGTGTCTCTCTGATTGGGTAACTGTACACAGCTCCTGAATGAATATAGTAGTCATAATAAATGATTCATTGAAAAATATAGAAAGTGGGCGGGGTTTTCGGAAAAGACCGACCCCACCGACCACCGACCGGTCGGTCTTTTCCACTGGTAGCCTCAAAACAGGGTTTGAAGAAAATGTGTAAAAGACCGACCATATCATGTAAAAGACCGAACATATTTGTAGCCTTAGAATATTAATAATTTGATCTTGAATGTCAATCGTTGGACTAGGCAACGTTTTTTACCGATTTTGTACCTTGCAACGAATGGCAAGCAAACAAATTGGTCATGACCGTCTCCTCTCGATTAATTGCCCTGCCTTAGGTCCTAACCTATCATTAACCAACCTATCGTTTCTACGGGAATCTATCCTAATTTTTTACTGAAATTTAACAATTTCGAAACAAAAATGATTTGTTATCGTCATAGCCTACTGAATACTGAACACGATATAATGTTACATGCATTCTCTTATCGGGATTAAAAGTGACTTACCATTTCAGTACACCATTAGAAAGCTTTTTTTGTCATATCAAATGTAGTTTTTACCAGTTGACGTTTAACAACTGAGAAATCAAACATAACGTTACGACGTCAACATCGACGATGTTTGTGTGTTTTTGTTATTGCGTTTCATATGAATGAAGAATGAACTTAAAGGGTGACGCATATCGTTTAGCAAATCAAACGCTCGTTTCTGGTGTTGCTCACCGTTTAGTATAAAAGGCCCGATCCCGGAATAATACTCTAGGGTTCACAGGTTCGAGGTCGTTGTGTGAACACCTCTAACTGTTATATAGCATAAGTATATTATAAATCGTCACACATTTATAAAAGGGTGATTTTTATTTTGACAAATCAATTCCACATTTATGGGTGAAGTTTCAGGATCTTCTTTTTGTGTATAATAAGGAAAAATTGGCATCTAAATTTCCCCATAACGTAATAGCACACAGCTTGGCATATGAAATATCCTACAAATGAAACAAAGCAAGACAAACCGGTTTCTAATACAAGGATTTATATTGGCTGTTGTACATGTATTCTTTGAACGCAATCACTCTTTGGATAACGTTTTCAAAATCATTATAAACGGATAACTTTATCTCAAAGACAATTTCACTAAACTGGATTTTACAGAACTCCCCTTATTTCTTAAAAATGGACTGATCCAGTTGATTCGCCTGGAACCGCCATATTGTTTTTATACGGGATGCTAATCGGAACCCTTTAATGCAATGTTACGTGCGTTTTTTTCCAAAGTGACTAACCAGGATGAAATTGGTCTTCTAACAACTGAAACATCACTTAAAAATATGACATTACACACCACGACGATGTAACGTTTTCATCGTGATTTGAAATGATAATTATACGTTTTTAAATCACGACCTAGTAAAGGTACTATAGTCATTGGATTCCCAGTTTTAGTTTTACTTCTTATTTTGCATTTTTTCATCTTTATGTAAAAGACCGTCAGCCGACCACCGACCACATGTACCCAACTGTGGAGAGTGACTGGTCGGTGGTCGGCGGTCGGTGTTTTACGAAAACCCAAGTGGGCGTGGGTAGCTTTATTTTGGCACAAAATTCAAGATGTTTAAAATTAAATGCCCTCGCAAGGCGAAGTTGAAATATCACTAATCTGATGGTGATATGGTCTACGATGGATCAAAATTGACTCTCCCACATCACATGTCACGTGACACTATATTTGTTGAAAAATGAAAGTGATAATGACAATTTTAATCTTAAGTTAACACCAATATTACAAACACATATCTATTTTCTTTCTTAAATATTAATTTCTTCATTATACATACATTTGTTTTATACTTAATTGATTGATTTTGGCAATACCTTTGCTATTAGATCTTTAAATAATAGTTGTAGATACTAGTTTTCATACAAAAAGAGCATTCAGTGTCAAATTATGTGGCAATTTGGAGACATTCTTTTGTTAAATCCAATGCTTCACTGGTCAAATCCACTTGTTTTTATAGCTGTCAATTAAAATCCTGTGGAGAAAATGATTTTTGTTGTGCATTTTGGTGTTGATTATTATGGATTCAGATATTAATGTTTTGTATGACATAAATGGTTGGAGTCAAACACAGTGTACATCCAATGGACAGTAAAATCCTAATTCAATTACAAATAATTAAAACTTACGGTATATGAAAAATCGATCAGCTACTTCATTGGTTTTGAAAGAAGTATTGAAAGAAACCTCATTTGACATGTCCACCAAATAGCAACATAATAGACCAGATATGAATGCCTGTTTATAGAATTTATTATTGAAAATCTCTGCTAATACAGAAACAAATAAGCAGCTTGGGCACTGTATAGAACACTTGTGTAAAGAAAATATGGCGTTGCAAATTTCACTATAATTAATGGTTTTTAGGCCACACTACAAATCAATACAGTATAGTGGACATGTCTTATTTCACTCCATCCATGCATTGATATTTTGCATATTGCTTTTAATATAAAGGCACTAAAATCATTTTTCGAAAGTCAATTTATGCCTTAAAAGTGTTGTGACCCCCTAGCTAAACCAGAATTTCACTCCAACCACAAGAAGAAATGTACCATTTTTAATTCAGAAAAAATATGACCTTATTTGTGAAATTCAAATATCTGAAGTCAGTTGAACTAGCAGATAGGTAACTGTCTTATTTAATCGTTGATTAGATTAAGTGTGCACCTCTATTACATAATGAAGGATTGATGTACTGCATGTTTTAACTACTAAGTTAGCTCCTAGACAATAATTTATAGTCCCGGACAATAGTTTTTCTGGTTAATGCCATCTCCTGAAAGACTAATAGATTTACAATGTGCAATGCTTTTCACTCTTTAACGGATGTATCTTTAAATACAACTGATTCGAACACTGTACATTTATAGTGTATTTTGTATGGTTGCAGTTTATGTGCACAGGATTTTTTTTGTTTTTTTCAATTACTTGAATAATACCATGGCACCAAAATAGTTGATACCAGGGGGATCTTTATTCAGATCCAGCCTTTAGTCCCAAATCTACCCAAGTAGGTAGCCAAATAAGTAGTGTAATAACAGGCTCAACATCAATTGGCAAAGCTGTAACCAGAATACAAACACAAATATACAGTCAAAAGGAAAAACGTGAGCTATTTCTACTGTCATCAAATTGATAGAGAAATGGGATAAATAACATATAAAGTCACGCCGAAACTAGAACCAAATTTCCCTTTAGAATTTCTGTATATCATTGCTGTAGAGATGGACATAACTGATAGTGCTATGGTAATTAAAACCGTACACAAGAGTGTTATTATACTACCGCCGTAAAATGACAATAATATAATTGGTACATGTTCCATCTTTTCCCTATTTGCTCTTTTAAAATTATTTTCAATTATGTCTTCCATTGGGGAAAATAATTCATTTCTGCCATTTGTTTTTGGATGAACATAATCCCCCTATGATTTTTGAATGACGCATTGTCGAGTTTCATAGATCTTTAATGAAAGTGTTGGAATTTACAGTTGTCATTGAGACTTAGTCTGAGTATAAGCTCATGAGAATAGTCTGAAAAGTGTAGGTAGTAAAAGCCAATAAAGACATTATGCAAGCTATAATTAATCGCCTTAAGCTTATTGTGGCTCTTCCCTTACCAAGATGAATTACTTGAAAGTATAAAACAACATTTATTGCATTCTATATTAGCAAACTGATATAGTTTGATTTTATTCCTGTGCTCATTAGCCTTTAGGATGGGTAGCTGATGATTTAAACAATCATTCTATGATTTCAGTGTAGGTTTCCACATAGAATTTTTGATGAATATCCTTTTCTCATTTGATGCCTATTCCAAAGCTTTTAGCGACATTGAAATTGTAATGACACTTGGAATGACATTTCAAGTCGAACACACACCTAATATAATGTTGTTAATTATTGTAATATGATTCATAAATTAGTGTTTTAATATCATAATACTCTTCTGCGAATTGGTTATATGAGTTGATACATTTTTTTTATCATTTATGATGGGTGGCTAATGTCATATATCAATTTGTTTTCATTTTACTTTTACATAAATTATTTGTCATATTCTTTCACTTGTATGTCAGTAGCATTCATGGTCTTGCAACTTATCATTTACTTTATGAAATAGTCATAGAGGATGTGATTTTATCACATGATTCAAACAATAGAAATGACATGAATTTTGATTCATCCCCAGAACCCATTTCACAATCAATTCTTTTGCAGGTTGGAGTCCATCAGGAAAAAGATACTCAAAGGAATTTTTACAAAGTGCCAAACTTTTACACTGGAATGGACGTTTCAAGCCATGGGGAAGGAAATCTCAGGCTGCAGATATATGGGACAAATATTTTATTAAAGATCCCGAAGAGAGATTTCGACCTCTAAGAAGGGACTTGAAGAGGGCTACATTGTCAGGCTCTATTAATACCTAGATACAGTCATAAAGCTTAGAACTTATTGTGTCAAAGAAGTGAAATTATTTAATATACTATGCAATTGATTTTATATTATTTATGTGCACCATTATAGTTATAAAGCGAATTTACAGTAGTAGCAGATTGTGCAATATGCAACTATTTCAATATACAACTATTTCAATATTCAACTATTTCAATATACAACTATTTAGTTTTGTTGTACAATACATGTAGTTAACACTATGGAGAAATTTTAGGATATACTCCCTTGTGAAGTTTGATTCAGATAAATTGATAAATAGAAAGAGTAATTCTTGTAGGTTTCTGATAGATCTTCGAGTAGATATTTATTATTGAAACAAATGTATGATTTATGTGAAAAAGCAATACTCAGAATGTAAATATGTTTAGACATGCTCATGTTATGTGATACATCTTTTGATAATTTTGTACTACAATTTTTTATAGCTGTAAAACCTTAACTGATAAATATAGCTGAGATGTGAAGCTATTCTTTTTTAGTATTAGTTGTGTATAGAACACACAGTGCTACTTTTAGTTGTGTAAATGATGCATATTATTAGTTCATGTAGTTCCACACCAGACCAGTCACTAGTATGTTATTCACCTATACAAAAATTATCAACTGGTCCATGGTAAAGACATTCGTCAAAGGACACATATCTCCTGAGGACTATGTTCATCTATTCTTGTATTTATTATGTGTTTGCAATATAACACTCTATATGTAATTCATAATCTCCTATCAACTATGTGTTATCTGTTACTTGGATCTCCTAGTAGTAAGATCTGTTCTATGTAGGCCATTTATAGAAGTTACTTTCAATGACCATAGGGTTTTCGTGTTTTATTTCAAGGGATTTCTTGGCATGAAGCATATTCAGAGAGACAATTACATGTACTTATGCATATCTTAATCATATGTTGGTGGTGTGTGGAGCATAATAAGTAGATAATATTATCGGAATGATAGACATCCAAAATCCTAAGCAATATTTGTTTGCAATTTAAAATTAAGCCACTTTATAACCTTATAAGGAAAAAATATGGCATTGTTTCATTTTATATTCATTGGCCTATATTCTGTCACACATGGGACAGGGAAGATAAAGTCGAGGAAAACAAGTCATTTGTTCAAGTTTTCATTGGTGTATTACTGTATTATACTTTTTATTTGTAATCATATAAACCATTTAGAGTTGTTAATTCTGACTGTGCACCATGGAGAGTGCCTCAATTTCGAGAATTATCAGGTCTGTAGGCAACCACATTTTTCTACAAAATCAACTGTGACAATCATGTTTATATTAAAATTTAACCACACTGAATGAATTTATATTCTGGAATGTATTGTATCATATTGTATTCAATTTTATTGATTGCAAACTTGAGAGGGATATTGCAAAGAAAACATTGCAGTTTGTGAATAAACATAAACAATATGTACTTGTGTAATACAAAAAACATGTGATGTTTTATATTATTTCTACGCATTCTATGTTTCCTAAGTGACATCCATACATTCAAGTAGATTTCATGTTAAAGGATTGGGTGAAATACATATTTAAGTGAAACCCACCAGAATGTACAGCCTCAGGAAATGGGTTGGGTGGGAGGGTAACTTATTTTTCAATCATTTCCCAATTTCATGATATTTCATACAAAGGATCTTGTACACCTGCCATTATGATCTCCCCATGAACAAAATGAATCATTTTTAGGTGTAATATAAAGAATACAATGTTACATAATACTTTGGAAAATATTTAAGCGTTTGGCCCCACATGGGCTGAGGTTTGGGTCATTAAGTTCAGCAAGGGTGTATTGACTTGACATTGGATGTGTTCTATTGACTTAACATGTGGATACCATCAGATTCCAATGGAGGCCATTGGTTTCTATTGATTTTCACAAAAATACCTAAAATACACTATGACCTGAATCGATTGCAAATTAAATAATTTCACAATATGACACAAATGGTATTTCAGATCAGATGTGCAAATATAAAGTTTGCAATCGATTCAGGTCATACTTCAAACTAAAAGATTATTCATTTTTTTCATCATTTTTTTCCTACAAAATGGCTATAGAAAAATGCTTCAAAAGCAACTTTTACACTTATGAAATCCCATACAACTTTGTAAATACAAAGATTATACTGTTATGATTCATTAATTAATAACATATTTTGATAAGATGTAGGGATGTGTAGGATGCAAATGGATTTTGACAGACACAAAAAGACTTCCTGGTTTGGCATCTCTACCCCTGTACACTTTATGATTGAATATTGCCCTAAAAAGTGGCCCATTCATCAATACAGTGCTGAATATAGGTCAACAAGATACTAGTGTACATATAAATGTAATAATAAAAGCAGTATATTTATTTTGAAAAATCAGATGAATTTATTTTTGTTCATGGGGAGATCACAATGGCAGGTGTACAAGATCCTTTCATGATATGTATACTATTATCCATTCCATTCGCTAATGACTACCTCCCTCGAATTCCCTATTTAGAATAAACATCCACTCTACTCAATAATATAGATGTCACTTAGGAAAGATGCACATGGTATTTTCTCAACTTGCCTCAATGCCATACAAAATATGTGTTGTTTAAGGATTTAAGTTTGAAGATGTTGTTTCCAAATCTTGGAATGCAAAGTTTAGGAAACAACATCTGAGTGGAGTGGCTTAAATTCTTTTCACACATTGCAGAATATTTTCTAGAAAATCACATAAAAGTTACAAAATCACAAAAAGAACATATTTTCAATGAAACTTTTTGCAAGGGTCAAGTATTGGAAAACTTCATTTCAATCTTTATCTCTTAGCAACTGTACACAACAAATGCGTTATTGATATTTCACACACTGTTCATTATGTGAATACTCTGTTCGGATTGGCTGGAATCGGACACACATTGCCTAGCTTTGTGTGAATTTATATTCTTGACCCTTGCAAAAAGTTTCCTTGAAAATATGCTCTTTTAGTAATTTTGTATCTTTAAGTTGATTTTATAGAAAATATTTTGCAATGTGTGAAAAGAATTTAAGCCCAAGACTCAATGCATTGTGGCTGCTTCATTCAACTCAGACGTTGTTTCCTAAACTTCTAAAAGATTTGGAATCAACATCTTCGTGGAATGGTTCAGCACACAATGCACTGAGTCCAAGGCTTAAATCCTTAATTATTTCTACGCATGATCCCCATGGAGGCCAATGCCCTTTTTGAGGAGTGAAGAGACAGCCGAGTGATGTAAAAACTAGATTCATTTCTGCTCATTTCATATCGGAAAATAATACATCAGAAAATACTTAGATAATATTTTTCTCTATTCACTGGGGATGAACTGGAAACGAGGGAGGTTTTGCCTCGTATCAAAATGGCGGCGCGTGAAAAAATTTCATTCGGTAAGATTTTTGTTTTTTACAATTTTTGTGCTTTTATCCTTCAAATTAAAACTTAATATTAGGCAAGTAAATAGTTCATAAGTTCCGGTTTTATAATATGATTACAAATTAGAAATCAATACTGGCATTGCTGAGATATTTACATATCAATTCTCTCACTTAGGAAACGAGGCATGTTTCTCAAGGAAACGAGGCAGCTATATAGCATTCTTAAGAATGAAACGAGGCAACCATATTTAATTAAAAATGGGCTTCGAACCAAGTTATAAATATTGCAAAAGTCAGTGTACGGAGCCCTGAATCATGTGTGGGTTAAAGCAAAGAAAAGCAGCCCATGGGCAAATCTTTCTCGAGATTTTGCAATATCTGGTGGAGGAATTGTGAGCACAGATGCTCCTGAGATAGCTCCAAAAGAAAAAGTCACAACAATTAAAGTCAGGGGAACTTCCATTGGCACTTAGCCCTTGCACTGATTTTTTCAATATCTAAAACATGGCGCAGAGCCGATTTTGACCCACTGTGCAAATGGAAGGATTTCTCACCCAACCATTACCACGTGTGAATGAATGACATATCATTGCAAAGAGGAGAGACATGGCTTTATGGTACATTAAATGAAATTGATGTAGTCATTACTAGTTTTTTTGATACGCCCTGTATAGTTCTTTTGAATTTCTGCTTTAGTCTTGGCCATATTCTGCAACAAATTGTGTATTCCCGGGTTAGTTACCACTATTAAGACAGAAATAAAACAGGTATTAAGCGACGTTATCAAAAGCAACGTACCTTAATTGATATAAAACTCAAGTCGTATGTGATTTGGGAAAAAAGTTGATTAATTACCAGCTTTGCTTAGGCAAAAGATACAGGTGTTGTACTTACGCGATTGCTGTATTATTTAGGGATTATTAGGAAGAAATCCCTTTTCCTTTGACTGCAAATAAAGTATGGCGTATCATGAGATCACGTGATGATCTCCTCCACTTGAGCAGCATTTATTGCTGAGTAATCAACTTATTTCGCACTTTCCGTAACGTACCTTATTGCAACGTACATGAGGAAAATTCATTACATGTTCCAATAAAGCAATACAACAGAGCGAACAAAGGTAATGAGCACATTGTATTGAATGTCCGCCTTGTCATATTCAAGAATTTATTTACTAATTCCATCAAGATATTACAAAATGTTGGGAAATGTTGTAACGTACCTTAAAATCCTTATCTTTTGAATTGAAAAATGACACCTTTATGACCTATAACTTTTGATCTGGATAGAATACAGTTTTTGAACTTTGCATGCATTTTGATAAATCATTTTCTGATAAAATATCACTCTGGGTTAAACATTTAAGTGATTCGTGCATTCTCTAGAAATTGAAATATCTAAAGTGGTATTTTAGAAAAAAAAAACTGGCGACATGGGTTCCGGGGATCTGATTATTACGTTGGAAAGGATTAAATTACTCGAAACGTTGGTAAAATACAGTAAATACCTACAGGTATTTTTTCAGGAAGTTTGGATGTGTTCTAAAATCTATAACTACTTCAGTTGTGCTTATAAAACATCACTATGCACTCTGGCGACATAACGTACCTGAGGAATTTGTCATCAAATTAAGTTAGAACAAATTCTCACTTACTACCAAACAATTAAAATTTGCTGTTTGGTGGTTGTACAAGTGGGTATTGGTCCTAAGTAGATGTTCTTAAAAAGTTTCTATATATATCTATTAACGCTTGA